CTTGTAAATACAGGCACATCTATCGTGTAAGTACATCTAAAGTACAGACACATCCAACGTATAGGCACAGTTAAAGTACAGTCACATCTAATGAATATACATATTATGTAAAAGGAGTCGCTCCGACTGGGCAGGTGTTACCGCATTAACAGGGAAGATATTCACTCAGAACAAAATAAAGGATGCAGTTTAAATTTTGTGTAACAACTTATTTTAATTTTACCTTTTCGTAGTATACTCCATTGTTGCACGAATATTTGACAATAGTTAATGGCTTAATACTTTGGGTTCCCAAGACTATCACTAATTGATCTAAAAATTAATTTTTAGTTTTCCATGGTAAAAAACGAAAATAGTATCATCAACACCACCACCTTTCTCACTCTCTCTCTCTCTCTCTCTCTCTCTCTCTATATATATATATATATATATATATATATATATATATATATATATATTAATATAATATATAATTTTAGATCAATTAGTGATAGTTTTTGGAGACGTAAAGTATCAAGCCAATTAATTATTTGAACTATTGTTATATATTCGTCCCACAATGGAGAATACAACAAGCCGTTAACATTAAAATAGGCTGTTAAAAATGTTAAGACACTTAGAGAATAAAAAAAAAGTTTGTTTTCCAACACAAAATTTAAACTGCACATACATATATTAAACAAGTACATTTATTATTATTTTTATTTATGTACATAAATAATTTTGTTTTCCTGTAAATCTCCAGTTTTTAAATATGTAGATTCCACACACATAATTTATTTAACATTTACCTTTTGGTAATGCTAAAAATTTAAAAACTTTATTTTATCTTCTAGGAATCTTTTATTTAATTTTTTTTTTTTCTTTTTTGTTTGATTTGCTCAAATGGGCATTATGCTCTAATGTAGTATAAATACAATATATATATAAACATATTACTGCAAAAAAGTACATAATTAAATAAAATAAAAAAAAGTCAGTTACAAATAAAGCTATAAAAAGTATATATATTATATTAACAAATGTATTTAACTTCGCATTTCCAAAATATATTACGTTTCCTTCTCTGCAGTCAGTTTTAAAGAAAAAGTTCGGTTTAGCGCTAGTATCGCTTTAACACATTTGATCACTGTTTGTGAGATGTCGATTTCAATGACCCAATTAATGTGATTCGTCTTCCTTCTTTGATGACAAAGTCTGAGCCTTCTTTCATTTTCTGTTGCTTTCTCTAGTTTATTTTTAAAACTACAATTTGTTAAGGGAAATGCGATTCATATTTGTTTAGTAATACAGAAATGTGTACACGCCCCTGTTTTTGTGTTATTGAAATGTGTAAAATCGGAAATCTATGAATGTTTACTAATCCCATGAATCTTGAAAACAAGTTGTTTTATTTAATTAAAATGTAACTTCAGTTTTGTAAAAAGTATAATTTTCTGTTAAAAGTTTCTTTTTTTTTTTAATTCTTTGTTGAGAAATAATACAATCTGTCACATCTAAGGACAATAGTTGTAATCATAAAAGAGTAGCTCATTCATACTATGTACAATAAGTTTGTTAAAGTAGAATAGCATTATTTAAAATTGGAACTATTGCCTAGTATTTCGTCACTCTGATATTGGAGTTGGTACCCAAGAGAGCCACGCTTTGAGGCCCGCAGGTGTAACAGGTAGTCATTCAGGTATAAAATATCCCTTCTTGAGCCTGTTTTGGAGCGGCGCTTACAACACCTCTTTAAAATAATACTCTTATTTCTACTTCAACCCTGTCTATACCTTTTATATCTTTCAATTAAACCATAAGTCTATATCAATGATTTCTGTTACTATTTCGTTATATAAAAGGTCTAGAACTGTAAGAGTGCGATGATTTATAAGATCTGTTTCTAAATTTATTATTTTCGAAACTATTTCAGTCTATCGTGATGGGACACCTTCCACGATTTAGAGATGTATCTTTAAACCGTTATTTAAGGTCTGTGTCCTGAGAAGGGAAATAGAAAGAGGTTGTCGTCTCTTCAATAATTTGAAATTTTAGAACCTATTTCAAAATTCCAAAATTTAAATTATTAATGATATCCTTTAAATTGTGAAATAACGATTTTAATCATACGATGTTAAGAATCGATAAAAAAAAGAAAATTATTGCTGTTAATATTCGTTTAAGATTAGTGAAAAGTTCAAAACCCAAAAGAGTTAGAAAAAATAATTAATTATTCAATTAATTAGAAAAAGGGATCGATTACTTTATATTCCTTGCACAAGCATTGATTTTCTTAAATGTTATTGTGCTAAATTCCATCAATTCCCACCCCATAAGACATGAAGTATATTTTTAATTCACAAGAAAAATAAAATTAAATAAAAATATGTCTCTCCTGTGTTTTAGAATATATTATTTTCATAGTTACCAATATTAGTCTCAACATTCATGACCATCAAAGACTTTAATCGAAGTATTAAAGATTTTCATAGACGAAACTATAACTATAAAATAAAATAATTATAATGTATTCAAAGAATAAAATCAAATCTATCGATTTAAAATTAAGGCTTTGGGCCTGGTGAAAAAAAACAAAAACATTCATTGATTAACTTAGTTTAACCATCAAAAGCTCCATTGGTATCTTGCTCTCCATTCTGGACAAACTTATCCACCAAAATACTTGCATCAAACTCGTGCGCGTCTGTCGCAGACAAAGTCCGCTACAAAGAAGACCTTATAAAACATTTAAATGTTGATGGGTATATTTATGAAATTGTCCAATATAGACAAGTGTCATCTAAGTCAGATACGTTTCAGTTAATATTGTGGTTCTCGTTTCCAACGATAGAGACATAACGATGTCTCTGTATTTATTTTTATACTATTGAATTTTCTTTTTTGTTTCTTTCCGCACTATTCGTTGGATCTTTCTGGTTATATCAAAATATATTTAAATGCCGAGTCTGAAGAGGGAAAAATACAGATGGATCGGGGCCAAACCTCCTTTGAAATGGTCATACAAATTTAGAATGTCCTCAGAGGTTTTTCCCTCTTTTTAAATAGAATGTTACTGTGTTCTCGGAAACCTGGGTCTGATGAACTCCTATCTCGGTTGTTTTGGGACACTGTTGAGGAAGTTGATGAAATCATTCCACCATCACAAACGAAATATTGAGCTGAGTTCTACGTTTATATTAAAAAAAAAAAAAAAAATCACAGGTCGCTTTGTTTTAATCACAATTGAAGTTTTCAAAATGTGTCTTTAGTCCTTTGCTGTAGTTTTTTTGTTGTTTCAACTTGAGAATCCTGCATATGCAGGCGTTGGTGCATTTTAACCTAGTTCTAATCATTAAGATACTACTGTTTCAACCTAAAAGTAAACTTTATATAATTTTCATTTTAAAATTGAATTCAAAAGATTTCCACAATCCCTTTGTCATTTTAGACTGAGTTTATCTTAGGCCAACTAGTATGGTATGTAAAGTTGGGGTATCGGGGGAAATACGTTTGCGCATTCGCTAGCGAAAGTAAGCTTCATATGTTTTATCAAGTTCTGTTAACTCCTTTCGCTCCTCGGTACGTCTTTCGTCGACAAAACTATAATTTTAAAGCGATTTTGGCGAATTTTATTCTCAAACGACAAATTGTAGACGTTCATTACAAGGTTTTTAGTAACCGATAGAAATGGCGAGGAAGGTACATATACTGGGTCCTTCTTACCCGACTTTTATTTTTTTTAATTTCTTAGACTTCTGCCTTTAAAAAAGCAAGAAGTCAGGCTTCATTCGAATATTATTATTTTAAAAAATATATATATTTTCATCTAATTTTTATGAATTTTAATTGGATTCAGTTCAATAATTAAAAAGAAAGTTAGAGAAAAAGAATAAAAAACATGTGATTACCGCCAAATATCAAAAAATTGTATTTAAAAAAATGTCATGTTTGTTTTTATAAAAATACCAAAAGTTTAGTGGTGTGGAGCGATTTAAAAGTTTTTTCGTCGGTGAACGGTCAGTTCTTCTTAAGGACATTAAGAAATGATTTAAACTGAAGAATTAAAGAAAAGGAATAAAGGCTTGACTTACGTAATAAAAGGTGAAAAAATTATTTTATAAAAATAGTTTATCAAAAGTTGAAAAAATCACATTTATTCTAATTAACTTGTACCATAACTATCAAATTAGCTTTAAGATTTGCGAGAATCCTAAAATTATTAAAGTAGTCATTTTCTCAGTGACGACAATCACAAATAATCAACATATGAATAAAAAAGGCCGCGTATATCCTTAAACCTGTGAGAACCGTAAAACAGATTTCGTTATTTCGTCTTTTACTTTACGTATTTGAAACTTACGAGTTTAGAATTAAAAAATACAAAGGTTTCCATTATTTATAACTGCTTACATATATATATATATATTAATAGCAAATCAATGTATCATAATTTCTATAGTCATCAAATTTTCTAACTATTTCAATCTGTGGACAAAAAATTTTCTCAGAACATTAAAATGTGAATATTGAATAAATATGCGCCCTCCAAAAATTCAAAACTCCATAAAAATTTGTCCCCTTATAAAACCCTCTTCTAGGCACTTCTGTTGTTGGATAAAATGTTTTAAAATTTGATGTGTTTTCAAATCTACAAACATTTTGGATTTTTAAATTATTGGAAGTTGGCCATTACTCTGCCATAATGAAGCTTCTGTTAATGAGCACCGTTACAACTTTGTTTCATATCTGTGACGTTGCAGTTACAGAATTAATAACACCTACTCAATTAAAATTACAATATATTTAAATATACGTCGGTTTAACTTATAACTATCAGGTAGAAATCCTTATCATATTTCAGTTGCTTAACGATTCTGCCCGAATATATTAAAAATGGATCATATGTTACATTTAGTTTTATGGATAGTTAAAGTAAAAATCATTGCGCTTAATAAATTGAAATTAGAAAAAAAAAACAAAATTTCTTATTTATATTTAAAAAGATATATTGACCAAAAATGATAAACGAACTCTCAGAAGCGTCCAAGATAGCCTTCATGGATAGAAAAGAAACAGATTTGGAAAGAAAGGTTAGGAAACTGGAGCAAGATATGATGCAATTGGACAGTATCCTGAATAGAGAAAAACTAGAGAGGAAGAAATCAACAGAATATCAAAAAGTGGCGGTTGGCAGCCATGTCTCCATGGCCCAGGGGGACGGGCCTGACCCTTGGCAGATCATGCAGGTTCAAATGCATCGCAACTCCTCTTCTTCACAAGTCCAACCTGGTTTTTTCTTCACCTGGGACTGCACTCCTTACGATTTCCACAACAATAATGCCCAGAGGAGTATCTATACTCTACTAGACCAATGGCAACCTGGCGGGAGTACCATATCCGCTGACCAGTTCAAGAAGCAGCTGAGTGCTCTCCTAGCTGCCAATAAGGAGTCTATTTCTATTACTGACCTAGCAATAAAGCATCGACTGGATTTCGGCGATATTACTAGTTATAAGAAACCTGTCCCTTATACAAGCAAACTCGAATCTAAAATCAGTATGCCGGATCTTGGTACCAAGAACACTGACTTCTACACTGAGAAAAACGAACTGATTGCCAATAACACCGAATTGGAGACTAGGGAGCTCCTTGCCAATCTTGAGAAAAAGCTCAAAAATGTGGAATCCAAGTGCCGTGAGGATTGCGCCAGTATGTTATATCCGAATACTGCAAATAAAACTAAAACTGAAGACGAAGTTGCTGAAACTGATGAAACAGAACAAGACAATATTATCATTGATGATCTTATTTTCGAAATGTTTAAGGATTCATCAGAAGAATTTGGAAGGAAGCCGATAGAACTTGCAAAAGAAGTTGAAGATCTTCAAGGTTTAATAAAGAGTTACAATCAGGTTGGGGATTCGGTGTTTCAAAAGTTCGATTCAAACAAATAAAGATTATAATAAAATCTATAATATTTTGAAAAAGGAATACCTATTTTAAGATTAAATAATAATTTTGTAAGGGATCAGTCAAGCTTTACCTTAAAATAAAACTTTGCAGTCCATCTTCAGGCAGGACCAATAGGGGATGGGATCACTTGCCTTGGGCAGCAGATTTTAATGGGTGAAAAATTTCAAACAAAATTTTATTTTTAGGTTAAATAAAAAGTATTATTTTTTTATTGAGGAGTGGAAGTGAAAGAAGGGGCTGCTAAATTAGTCTAACCTAACTCTGTAATAAACTCAAGCCTCAAAAACTATATTCAGTGCTGGAGAATAATATTTGTCAAAGCTATCATAGTTATCTGCTTCTTTTAGTTTAAGACTATGGTAGTAATATAGACTTGAGATTCTAGAACTATCTGGTTTCCTTGAAACCAATAAACATAGTTACTAGTTCCAAAAAGCAGGATGTTTATAGAAAAAAAATACAGTTAGTTTACATACAGTGGAATAACTAAATGGAACTGATGCACTGCATTAGAATGTAGTACATAAATGGATATATTTGTACTGAGAAACATATTAACCAAATAAAAAAAAAATTACCCAAAACAAATTGTGAATCCACTACAAGTAAGAATAAAATTTGGTGTTATTCTGCAGGAGAGAGGCACAGAAAAAATAAAAGTGCATTAGGGCTTCTTAATTATGCCAATTAGCCTCTCTTAGCAGAACCACAGCTTCATACCAAAGGAAAAAAAAGATAGGACAAGGGCACAGTTTTTTATTTCAAATGACACACTTTTGTTTTAACTTTTTTTGTATTTATTTCAAGTATGTAAGCCTTAATAAAATATATATATCGTAATGATAGTTATATAGTTAGTCATAAAATAATGTTTATTTATATTTCCTTCTATTTTGGCTGTCAAGAACAAAAATTATTTTGTCGAACATTAACATAATGTTTTTAAAGGGTTAACCTAAGGAACTTGCTGGGTTGTAACATATAAAATTAAAATTCTTAGGCTATTGGAAAAATTATGAAAGAAAAACAAACTTCAACAATATTATTTTTATTCAAAATAACTTTCGTAAATTTTTCCCAACCAAAATGTATAAAGAAACTTTTTGATTTGGAATAAAAATTGTTGTCCCATTTTATATTCAAATATTTTTTTAAATAAAAAGGGATCAAATGCCCCCAAAAAAATGTTAGCGAGAGGTGAAAATAGCAGAATTTATACTTTCTAATTTCAAAGTCAACTGACTCGCCACCTTGTGAACTGAAATTTGAATTTCGATTTGACTATTATCATTTCAAAGCACGCAACTTATTTAAAAAAAAAAAAAAAGGCATGAACAGCAAAGCTCCATCCCTAAGGTTCTATTTTCCACTTATTTTTAATTTTAAAAAAAAATAGAAAGGGATTAAATTGTTAAATTGGCGTTAAATAGAGGAATAAAAGCTTTGCAAATTATTATTCAATGGTTTATTATATTCAAATAGTTATAAATTAAATATGTATAGCGAACAACTTACGCCTATAATTAACTTCACCCATGAGAAGCTGGAAAAAATTATTACGATGTTAACATTGAATAACCGGAAAATAAAAAAGTATTAACTTTATTGTTGATATTGCATATGGTCATTTGAAATTATACTAAATTATCTAGTAAATAGAAAAAACTATTAAAATCGGATGATTTGGTAAAAAGATGTGTTGTTCCAAATATTTACCAAATGTTCTACAGCTGACCATTGTTTTGTCTTAAAGAAACTGTATGACAGATCTTTGTATTTATTGGATGGATTTTGATGAAAATTTTTTATCCTTTAGGAAATTTAAATGTCTTCAAAATATGTTCTGACAAAAATGTACACCTTTTTTGTTAATCGTAAATAAAGTTTTGTATTAGTCAAAACTCTTTTTCTTGTACTTTTTTGAGAAAGTATATTATATACGAAAATATATAGTGTTTCATGGGGAATACTTTAGGAATGTTATCAATTCCCTAAGAGCCATTTTAGTGCTGTAGTATTTTTCCCGCCGTTATCTTGAAACAAAATAGGGAAAACGCTCTTACATGGCGAAATTTCCCAAAGTTTAATAGTAATTAATGTTCTGCCTGTGAACAAAGTCTATATACCGTCTATATAATTTCAGCTTATTCAGTCAAACAAGGGCCACTAGGGAACTCAAAATACAGCGGAGAAACAAAATAATATATATATATATATATATATATATATATATATATACATATATAACTGATATCTCTAAAAATTGCAGAATCGTGCTCTATGGATTCCAAAACGGATAGAAATCTTAACCCCCCTTCCACTGATGACTTTCGATATAGTGCAAGTAGTATATTATTTCTGAGGAGAAAATAGGCAAAAAGATCCCAAAATGAATTTTTATTATAGACAAATTACAATTCCTACTCTCCTTGAACATAGATCTTCATGTTTTACTGCAACTTAACAATGACTATTTGTTCTTTTGAATGGTATGGTCGGAATTTTAGACCATAGTTAATTCATTCTCGCAATCATTTGTAAATAAAACCTAAAATTTTGATGAAGTAGACAAGTAAATATGCATCATCAGTAAACCATTTTTTAAGTTATGTAAAACTGCAATTGAAAAATAAGGATTACAATTAAATTCAAAAAGGAAGTCAAACATTTTTCAAAAAAGTAATTTAATGATTAAACATAATTTTGCAAATTAGGTATAATCACATAATTATTTCTGTCAAAATTTAATATTATTTACAGACATGTATTAGAATATAATTTTGGAAAGTTTGAGAAGCTTATAAAAATTAAACTAGGATTCTAACTTAACAATTAATGTAAACATAGTTCTTAAAATTACATTTTTACAATATAAAATACATATTTACACATGCCCATCCGAATTCACGAATGTTAGTAATAAGGATGAAGTATGAATAATACACCTCTTTCAGGTAATAGAAAAAAACTTTATATACATATCAATCTAGCAGAAATAACATTAGAAGTTATCTTTGAAATTAAAATAATAACTCAAGTCAATAAGCAATAAATGGAGGCTTTGTAGTGTCGAGGAACAATACTAATAATTTTAACCCTATTGAGGGGGGCTGCTCAAATCAATATGAATTTTCTACAACTAACATTATTATTATCAATATTTTTAAAAATAATTGCTCGGCTGAAAACTTAAAAAATTTATTTTCATCTTAACTGCTTTTTATATAATTAAATATTTAACTTACATATACGATTTATTTTTTTCTATATTATCAAATAAAGACATGTATATTATCATTTCTTAACAAGGTATTGAGCATAAAAATAATGGCCATCAATGGAGGCAATAAAAAATTCAATTGACTTAATATTGAATATTTCATTTCTCAAGATTGCAATTCCATTAGCTTTCACATTTATTCTTTTTATACATAACATACTAACATGTAAATATATTTTTAAGTATCGATCGATACAGATCTGTACAATGAAATTCATAAACTTGGAAAAGCAAATATCCAACTCAAAATTCTCAAGTGTAAAATCATCACATAGCAAGAGTATGCTACTAAAATTAATAAGAACAAATATACGTATATATAAATAAAACACTTATATACAAAACTATGTCAAATAATTTAGATCAATTTAGTTTATAAAATTTTTTTTCAAGTTCACAGTCATTTATAATCCACCTTAATGAGGTGAATCTACATAAGTTCAAATTTTGCCTCCCTTTTTTCGGAACTGGGAAAAGTTCAAATGAAAATATTCACAATAGAGAGGCTAAGTATCACTTTTCCATAATTTGATAGTTTTATCTTGTTCTAAAGCAGCGGAAGCGATGATATTTTCAGTTGGATGACAAGTAGTACACAGTACAACATCTGAAAAATAAAATTATAAAAACATAAAAAAATCTGTTTAATTTTTGACGATTAATATTAAGATTTTCATATTTTATTATTATGAGTGTCCCGTTTTTCACAGGACCGACATAAACTTCTGAATGTCACGCAAATGTGATGAGATATTTTGACCCTAGCTTGTGGGTGATCATCATTGGGGTACATATTTAGAACATTAGGAAAGTAGAAAATTGGGAATGTACTAAAAAATAACTGAAAATCCTGACAGTTTATCAACATAACCTTCATACAGTCAACCATAATTTATATCTAAATGTGTTAATTAATATATATATATTTTATCTTTTTAATTTGTCTGAAAGTCAAAATATATATATATTTTTTTTAAAGTAGCCAAAATCAGATCTTTAAATATAACGAGATAAAATAAACTATTTATATAATATGGTAAATAGCAAGTACCATATGTATCAACATTCTCTTGGCTCAAAAAAGAAAATGGACTAGATATTATACCTGCACAACACAGAAAGTTCTAATAACAGGGATATAGCCCCAAAATTAATAAGTATAGAGTCATTTTAGGAGATAATATTTTTACTATCTTCAATTAAAAACAGTTAATTTTTTTTTTTTAAATATGCATTTTGTAAATAAGATAATCTCTGTGATGATGTGGTTTACTTCTCCGATTATGATATTTGGCGACACTCTTTCATTCAGCATTAAGCAGCAAATTAAATAGATACTTAAGAAATAAAAAAGCAAAATCTGTGTTTTGTTTCCGAGATGACAACCACAATAAACAAAAACAAAATTAAAATAAACATAACATTGCCCATAGGATCCTGTCTTAAAACATAATCCAAAACAATCACCATATTTCCTTTATATTGGGTTGCGAAACTGAGAAAACATTAAAAGTAATGTATCAATCATATCATGTAATGTACAAATCATAACTAAAACTAATGGAAAAGAATTTGAGAAAAAATTACATAGAAGATCATATACTAATAGTATTATGATTGAAGACTTTACCTGTATGGCCATTCAACTTTTGAACTATTTCTTTAGTTTGGAGATTCCATATATACACAAGATTGTCTTCTGAACCCGAAACAATCCACTAAAAAAATAATTTATCAATATTAAGAACTGAATTAAAACATGAGGAATGAAGTTTAGTGGTCAATTAGGTCTTTAACACCCAAGATATGTGTGCCGTCAGGATATAAGAAATGAAAAGAATTTTTATTTTTGGAATGTATATAGGAAAGGAATTTAAATAAAAGTACTATTAAATTACAGAATTTTAACAAGTAAGGTATCAAATGATAATCTTACCTTCCCTCCTGTAACTGAAAAATTAGCAAATATACAATATTTCTCATTTTTATGTCCGGTATATGTTTTTAAACATTTTCCTTTGCTGTAATCCCATAACTTCAAAGTATTGTCTAAAGTTGCAGCTAAAATATACTTTCCATTAGGAGAAAATTTTACAAAAGATACGGGCGGATTATCATCATCAATTAAAGTCTTTAAGCACTGTCCTGAGGCTGTATCCCAAATACGGCTGAAACAAAAACAATTGAAATTAAGAATAAATTACCAACAATAAGAAAAATGTAACACTAATATATAATTATATATCCAACAAGCTCATTTCTTTAATGAGATAAATATACTGTATGTAATATTAAAAATACCAGAACTTATTTTTTTCTTCCATTATTTCTAATATATTATACTTAACTTCTATCCCCTATTTAATGGTCTCGTTCCTGATTCTTTGTGTCCTTGATACTCTAGCCGATTACAGTGGTATGGGCATATTAAAAAACTGAATAGCGAACGACTTCCAAAAATGGCATTTTGAGTGGGAGGCACTTTTTCCAAAAGTGAAGATAAACATTAACAAGAATTGACATTAAAGATATTCTTGACAGAACTTCAAGGTTATATAAACTTGATATTTTTATTCCAAAATATCAATAGTATGATTTAAACAACTATTTTAAGAAATTATAGTCTCAAAATTATGGAAAAAGTTTAATAATTGTTTTTTTCATGGGTGATAAATAATAGGGACAAAGTCATTTGTTTTCTGGTTCAATTTAGATTTGTTAATTAAATTAATAATACATAATTTTTTCTTCCACTATTAGATGCCAAAAACTTAATAAAATATGATGTGACAAAATATAGAAAAAATCTCTTATTAATAAAAAAGTATATTGATAATCTGTTACTGTTACTTAGATCAGATAAAAATAATTATAAAGAAATATATTATAAAACTTTTAACGAGCTATCAAAACAGAATGAGATTCATCACTGAAATGTGAATCAAGTATGTATAATCAAAATCAGAGGCCTTTGGAAAATAAACACATGCCAACCACCACAATGGCGACATAAGATTAAAAAGAGACAATTTACAAAGTGAAGACATTACAAATTTACTATTTAAGGACTAAAATTGTTTTAAGAAATAGTGATAAATGAATATCTGTTTAATTTACCATAAACCATCATAGCTACTAGAAACAATCAGTGATCCATCCCTATTAAAATGAACAGCACTGACAGGGTCTGAGTGGGCTGGAAGGGTCTTCAAACATTTACCAGTTCTCACGTCCCAGATTCTAACACTCTCATCGAACTAGAAATAATCATATAATCAAATAATAAACGAGGAATAACTATATAGAAATCATAGCAATGAAAAAAAAAAAAAAAAAACCAATAATGTTTCTAACACAATTACTATAATGCTCGAAAATGAGTAAGAATTAAGTTAGGACTAAATCTCAATAGTATGAATTACACTTACCGATCCTGAAACGATTAGATTAGATTGAGGATTAAAATTACAGCAAAAAACATAATTGCTGTGCCCTTTTAGAGTCTTCAAACATTTGGCCTAAAAAACAATACAAAAAAAAAACTTCTAAATCCATACATCATGACAATTTACGACATGAAATAATAATATCAGACAATTATTACAATTAAACAAGACATATGGCCTTAAGCTCATACTGAAATATATAATACATAATCACTGAGATAGGAATTCCATCATTCCTGAACTCCATACAATCACTCCAACCTTCTGAGTTTAAAATATTGATGGATTAGAATGATTGACTGCACAGTTTTTTTTAAGGTAATGCTGTAATAATACTAATAAAAGTTTTGGGTTGGTATATATAGTATTGTTAAAATTTAGAACAATGATCGTATAAAATATGTAACAAAAATATTAACAATGCAATCCCAATAATAAATGTGTTATTTATTCTCAAAATCAATTTCGACTGGATTGCTTGGAAATGCAAATGAGGAACGTTTCCATTATTTTGATAACATGAAAATGAAATAAATAAAATTATATTTTAATTTGACAATTTTTACTTTCACTTACCAATATATGTAATGTATAGTAACGGTATCATGATATATTGCGATCGTGAAAATTTTTGAATCTCAGTTTTCAAAGGAAATACACGTTTTGAGACTCTCTGAGTCCAAAAGTTCCGAAAAATGGTCTGTGCGTCTTTGTGTGTGTACGTGAACACTAGCACAGAATCGAAAAGTCTTACAAAACTATTTCAGATAGGTATATTCCTTAGATATCACAGCAACGTTTTCCTTAAAATCGGCTAACCGGAAGTGCCACTTTATGTCAAAAATGAAACACATTTTACGATTTCCTCAAAACGGCTCAAACGATTTTGATTAATCTTGGTGTATCATTATATAACTAAGTGGTCTTTAATATCATTAAGGTCTTATCTAGGTTGATGTCACTTTACAAGGCATAAATACTTAATGTTCTCAATTATTAAATAAAACAAGCATTGAACTATAGGCAAAAAGTCATATTTAACAGATACTGAAACAGGCTAATTAATATTCCTTTCTAAAGTAAAATAATACTTCCTTTTGCACCACATTGACTTGAAACATTTAAGTGATATTTAAAAGAATTAACAATATGTTTTAAATGAAAAATGATAAAGATAAATCCAGATTTATATATTCTTCATGCAATTATCAAGGTTTATAATAATATCTTGAATAATCCAACGTGTGGTTTTAAGACATATAATAACAAACATAAACTCACAACTGTGCAGAAAGCATAATCTTCTCATGCCATCAAGAAGTTATTTTGAAATTAGTTAAAAAACTGTTATTATTAGTACAAAAACAAAGGCAAACATGTTAAATATATTTTTATTAAAACAAATAAGCTTTTATCATAAACAATCACAATTGTTTCATGATGGGAGGGCAGTTTGGTTTAGAGATTCTTGTATGTATATTTCTTGAATTTGAGGATATCAATAATGATTTTACACAATTACTGAAACAAATATGGAAATTATAGCTACAGAAATGGCAAGAGCAGGACTGACCACTACATGATAACAGCAGGAATGGTTATTTTTGTTTTAAATTTAGATTCAATGATTATTTTTCTTCTTCAATGTTTTTAGACTTGATTACCTATTAATGGTATACTGGTAGGGAGAACTAGTCCAGCAAGTGGACCTATCGTGGTTCTTTTTGCCAACCCATGACGGCTTCCTTGAGGTTGGAAACACTTACCAGAGTGGAAATGTCACGATCCATTTCCCGGGGCTGCCGAGGTGAGAATTGAATCCACAACGTTCAAAACCGGGCATTTGGGACCCACACCCTAACGTGCTCGGCCATCCTTTCCTATTAATGGTATAAGATACAACCAAAAATGCTTAGCTTGGAAAATAATTTTGTAAAAAATGTTTTATAATTTTTATTTAAAACATTTTGACCAATACTGAAGATCTTCATTGTAGCAAACAAGAAGTAAAGAATAAATAGACAAAATAAATTGGTATGTTTGGACACAATGATTAAAATCGAAGGAATAAGAATGATAATGTGTAAATTCATTAAAAATATAAAACAATAACAGTTATACTAAAATAAAGAAAGAAAAACCATTAATATAAAATCTTGGACCTACTTTATTAACACAAAAATAAATAAATAAATAAAGCCACTTAGAATTATATCATTAAAGATACATACCATGCTCATAATACTCTCAAATAGATTAAAATAAAATAAACAAACTTTTAACTGTAAGATACTAAGCTGTAATTGGTTGGAAACAAGAAAATAATACAGGTTGTCACAACTAGAAAGATGAACTCATGCAACACTAAACTAATTTTTTTTTTTTATCACCCTATATATTATAAAATATTTTTAGATTTAAACATACATGGAAATATATTTTTAAAAAAAAGCTAATTGTGGGCAAGTTAGAGTAATGCCTTAAACACATTACATTTCAAAAATACTTCATTTATAAATGAAAACACAAAATTTAATGAATGATCTGTTTTCTTAGTTATAGATCCACCACTATTATAACCAAAGACATAACTTTATTTCCTATTATATTTTATGATAAAATAAATTTAGTGACAATCTAGTATGAGTTACATAGAATGTGTTATAGAAATATCAAGTTAATAATAACTGCAATAACTCTAAATAAATAAATAAAAATTATTCTGGTAATCACATTAAAAGGAAATCATATGTGTGAATGAAACATAGTAATAACAATAGAACAGTTAGTTATACACAGTCAAGTTTAAATATTAATTTAAAAAATACTTACTGAACTTAACTCCCAGATTTTTAATGTTTTGTCATCAGAAGCACTAACCAAAAGTCTGCTATCACTTGACCAGGCAACATCAGATATACCAAGTTTATGGCCTGCAATGGTTTTTTCAAATTTCCCATCATATGCTCCCCAAATTTTTATTAACTTGTCAGCAGCTGTAACATGAAGTTATATAGTATAAATTATCAATCATCAACTCTTTTAAGCCATATATTACCCATATAACTCATAATTCCTTACAAGAGCTAGCTAACCATTCTCCATTTGGGCTGAATTTGACTGAAGATACTGCTTTTGTGTGGCCAGCTAAAGTAAACTTTAAGGTATAGTTGGGTTTCTGAAACAACCAACAAAATTACTGATTATTAATAAATTTTTAAACTTGTAGGGTACACTAATAATATACGAATTAGAGAGGATTTAATTTAATCACGATCATGTAATGAATTAAATATGTTACAAAAATCTCAGAAGACCCCAAACTCCATAAGAAAATAATAAACATAAATGTCGTAATAAACCAATAATATTACTTAGTAATGAGTACCATGTTTGAACTGGATTTGTTGGAGCTACTCATGGAATTTCCTAACTGATGATTTCCCGGTTGGGTTAAAGGTTGAGAAGGACCTAGTGGTACCATCTTTCAAACCATTAACAATTCGATTCCTGTACTCTTTCTTTGAAATGATCTGGTTATAATTGTGAATAATACAAAATTGAATCTGTTCCGAGGGTAATAAATAGCTTTTTATATTTATAATCAAAAAAAGGTTATATCAAACTTCAATTGTTTATAGTTAGAACACAACTGAGAAAAGCCACCTGAATTAGTATCATGTCATAATTTACAATAAAAATAAAAAATATCAAATATTAGCCTTTTAAAACCATAAATATTACCTTTAAATTAGTAAATTTTTGTGTTTTATTATTAAAAATATAGAAATTATAAAATATATGCTGTTGTTTGAAATACTCGGTAGAGAGGGTAAACAATGTACGTCACGTGACGACATGGCAGACTGGCCGAGTTCTCGACTGAGACCACACCAGTTAAGAGAAAATGCTTTGCATGCATTTGAGGCGCATTTCAATATACATTTATATATTAAAAACTTAAAGAAAAGACTCTCTTACCCGAACAACATTTGTAAAAATACAATCAAACGGCATATTTAAGAAAATCAATGTAATTCTGTCCTTTTCCAGGTCACGTGACTACCCTAGACCAATCAGATTGTAGCAAATTTCAAAGGATTTTTCACATCTCCAACAACCCGTTGGAGTAGCTGGGTAGCCATTGCTGTGTTTGTGATAGTTCAGTTTTACGCTATAATCCGAATTGATCATGGGCACAGGCAATCATCCTTACTCAAAAGGCCAAGAACAGCCTTCCATAGGATTAAGTGTATGGTAGTTAATGCTAAATACAGAATTTTAAATTACTTAAATAAAATAAAGTCAGCTCTGAAGTGGGCTCCCCAGCCTCTGGGAAGGCTGCCGTAACGTAACGTTGATGGAACTACATTTCAACATAATGTCATTATTATGAATAAAATACAAAAAATGCTTAAAAACCCTTAAAATTTTTTATTTTAACGTTCAAAAACACGTTTCTTCATTGGAGAACATGCTGTAAACTATCGGAACCATTATTTCGGTATATTGATGTATACCGTTTTAGGCTCAGCCTTATTGGCTTCTTCCCGAGTGGGGAGCCCGCCATGTTGACCAACTAAGCGCCAAAAGAGGAGCTTTTTTGGTATTTTTTCTATTTGTTTAGGTTAAAAAATAGTTTAGTACTGTTAAAATTATGTTAGGTTTACGTTAAGAGTGATCTTGAAGTGGTGATGTGGTTACTCCCCCTTTTGAGAATAGTAGCTTAACCAAGCTTGTGTTGGGCTTGAGCTTCTCTCTTCTCCATTGCCAGTAATTTACGTTTATTACTGGATAAAGTGAAATATAAGTGTTAAATACAAGTGTGTGAACTCCAGGAAGGGATTTAGTGCTAAATGAAATAGTTTTTTGTTTAATAACAGTGATTTTGGATCGTTTTTAAAGGTAAGCTTGGGTTTAGCCTTTCTAGCTTGGTACTTATGACGCCTTTTCAAGTATTTTTATCCGTTTAAGAATAAATAATGATATGTTTGTTGAATATTTTTGATATTTAAGCTATATGTGATATTATTTCAATCATGAACGTTTGAAATCAGTGATTTTGTAGTATCAGTCAAACTTAACCTCAATTCTCATATTAAATTACTAATTTTGTTATTTTTATAGCTATTTCAATTGAAATATTTTAATTTATTTAGTGTATTTTTAATTGGTTTTGTTTTGTAATCATTTTTATATTAGTTGCAAAACTTAGGCAATATTTTGATATTATTAAAAGTACCTAATACATATATCATTAGACCACACAAAACAATAGGATTTACTTAAATAAATTTAAATTTGACGTTTGTAAGTGTTATCATGAAATTCGGCAAATTTAAGGTTGCTGTTTCTTTTATGTGCAGGTAGTGTGAAATGCGGTTTGTTATTCTCAGGAGTATACCCGAGGCCACATCCAAAATTCAATTTTTTTCTTCAAAGTTTCCCCTTGAAGGTTCTATTATGACTAATATACTCAAGTAAATTGTCGCTTATTTGTTCTAAAAATTAGGACTATAGATATGGGGAGTAAATTTAACTCTAAGCCTTTCTGTATGCCATTTTTATGAGTAAAGCAATGTAAGGTTATCGAGGTCTGTTTTTTATTTTTTGGTTTTGTTCAGTGTAGTTTTACTATGGTTTTATATATAATTTATTTCATAAATTCATGACTTCTTTCTTCCAGATTTAAATGTTCCTGTGAGATCATGATTTCACCTTATTGTCTAACTCAGATGCATCTGCATTGGGCTTTTTTACAGTACTAATGAAAACCCCAGTGTCAATTGATCCTTGGAAAGGTGGGTTTGTACATTATTGATATCGAATGGTATGATAATTACCTATTCTATCTAATTTTCTGTCACCCTTTTTCAATAAGTTTTGTTTTAATTCGCTTACAAGCATCTTATTCTAATACTGTGTTTATATATTTGAGGTGCCCGTGGAAAATGTATTAGTAAAAATTATTGTAAACAAGCTTACTCTTGTTCATGTGTACTTTATGGATTACAGTTAATTTTCTCTCGTAAAGTTACTGGTAAATGAATAACAGGGAACCATTGCTCAAATTTAGCTTCTAATTAAAATAGACACTGATATTTGGGTGATAATCTTCTATTTTTTATAGTTTCTCAGAAAAAAAATACGATTCTGAGGTATAGTTTTATATTTTATATGTTAACATTCTCTATGGTTATTTACAGAAGATTCCAAAACTTAACCCAATAGACACTTCGACAGTTCAGACATCATAAAGGGTTATTTAATTTAAGAATTTATCGAGTGTATGGAAACATTTATAAAATTAGTCTATTTCTATTCTGTTTAACTAAACTTGAATGGTATAGTTTTATTTAACATGTACCATTCCTTGTTCCTTAAGATTTGTTTATATATTTTTGAAACATTTATAAGATGTTTATTTATTTATAAAATGATTCTTTATCTATTCTGTTTAACTACATTTGAATGGTTTAGTTTTATTTAATATGTACAATTCCTTGTTCCTTAAGATTGGTTTATTTATATCCTTTACCTATTAGCTACACTTAACATCATATTATTAAAGTCCTTATTACTTATTTTCTCTTTCACTTTTCAATACTTCCAATTTTGTTCCAGACCATTCCTCTCCCAAATCCCTTAAACCTAAAAAGAATCGGTTTCTTCAATTATCACGATTCAAATACAAAAATGGTCTCAAGAGATTGCTAAAGTACCAATATTTATTGCTGCAAGGTAAAAGGTACATTTTATTGTATGCTGGTCGATTTCTCCAAGTATTAACTACCATAATTTTATAACACCAAATATATTATTACTTCTTAAAATTTGGCTTTACTTATTTTTATATTTATTCTATTCTATATTGTTTTTTATTTAAGGAGTGTGGCCAAAATGCAGCAAATGGACTCCTTGCAACCTAACAACGCAGTAAGTTTTTTATGTTTTAAATTTTTTTTTAATGTTTTACTATCTTATATTTTTCGTGTCGAACATGCCCTGATTAATAAGTTTAAATTTAGTTCAGTTAGATTAACACATATTCGTCTGATAATTTTTTGCACCACTATTCACTATTATTTGCAGCTCCTCTTTATTTGTTTTGTAAAAATTTAAATTTAATTTATTTAGAATTGATGAAAGAACCAGAATCAGTTATTTTATTCTCTCATTATTTATTCAGTACATCTGCTGATTGTTAATACATGTAATTAATAGGAGCAGATTAAAAAATATTTTTTGTAATGTGCAAATGAAATTTTGTTATTTGGCTATCAGTGATTGTTTGCCAAATGATGAATTTATGTCATGTGGACGAATATGTGTTAAGGATCAACCCGTACATTTAAAAAGGAAAAAATGTTAAACTTGTTAGAAATAGTTCCATTACCTTTCCCAGAAAAACTGATAAAAAGCCCTGAAGTTTTCCGCCTAAGGTTTTGATATTCTAAGGGGGAGATAAACAAAAAATTCTGACCTGGGCAGGTTGATAATAAGTATACCAATAAGTACCAATACTTAATATCCAGGTTGACTTCTTATAATATAAGGAGAAAAAATAATAATAACTTCTGAAAATTAATATTATTTAACGGAAACTAAATGTAAATTTTCTAATAATTCTTTTTCAGTTACAAATAAAATCATATACCACATAATCGAGATATCGGGATTTTTAGAAAAACATTCTGTTAAACTTGTGTTACAGAAGTGGAATATAAAAATATTACATAGATGAGTAAAACATATGTTTATAACCTTAAATACATTTACTGAAGTTAATTTATTTTAGATTCATTAATATATTTAAATGATCAACCAAAAATCGTTGATTTATTCCAAAATCAATAAGTAACATTTTAGAAAAACTAAACTAATGAATAGTTCAAATTTTCTCTCAGTGTGATTACAACATTATGGCACTTACCATTACTGTGACGATTTTTTACTTATCAATGCTGTATTCAAAAGCTCTTAACTGTATATTGATCGGTTTTTATGAGATTTAATTCTTATAATTTTTACTATGTCGTACGGTCCTCATTCATAATTAAATATATACACTTTCAAAATCTCTCTTTGTTTATAGAGATCTGAGACTGGAGTTGTGTGATTCAAATAGACTGATCTAGTTACAAGGTTTATATTGCTTACAATGATTAAAACATATAATGAATAGGGTTTGTGTTATTTTGATGGAACTTCAAGAGTTTTTGTATTGAAAAATATGACCGCTATTGACGCATATGTTCTTTGAGGTTTAGTTTCATTAAAAATGTACTTCTAAAACATTTCGTAACAGCCCAATTTCGCCAGACAAGAATTTCTGTTCAAAGTAGAGTGGTAAGTGAATGCTTTGCACTCACCAGATTTTTATTTTATTTGGAGGTTAAGCATTAAAATTTTCTATTACTTTATTATACCAAAGAATCATATCTATGAGAATGGTTTTGTAACTTTATTGATTTAAAAATAAAAATAGTATTGGTTACTTGATTGTTATCTATTCACAATTTTACCACCATGTAGCTGATTAATCGCAAGCATTATAATGAGGCTGCATGGAAACGAATGGCTAAAGTGGCCAATGTTACCATGGTGATTAGTAAAGAACATTCATTTTCATGAAATTATTTTCCTTTTCACATTGTTTTTAATAAATTCTCACGGGACTGTGTCCCAGAATAAAGTTATTTTCTATCTGCAATACATTAGAATTGCATTTTTATTTTATTTTATTTCCTCACTACCAAAGATAAAGAAACTGTTCTCGTGCTGGTAATCAAAAATATTGTGCATAGAATTAAACATTGTCACTCCTATCTTATTTTTTAAATAAGTAAATCACCAAAACTTATTTTTCTTCATATGCCTATATTTTGAAAATGGCTGGTTCAATTTGGAATTCCTCTAAATTTGTTTTTTTTAAACTCAAATACAAGGCCTAATACTTGTTCACTAAATGTAACCACTTATTAGAAAAAACAAACTTTTCTCCCCAAAAAACTTTTTAAATAACTAATTGAACTTACTGAAGCTCACTAATAAATATCCATCACCATGACTAAAAACTTACTAACCCATTTAGGAACAAAACTAACTGGTCTATGAAAATTGCTTATTTAGTGGCATTTAGATTTTTTAAATAATTTTCTCTATTTTTTAACTTATTATAAATTTTCTTTTAGGCAATTAAAATATTAAATTTAGTAAATTATTATTTTATCCCAAAATAGATATTACAAATAATCAGTATGTAATAAACTCTGACAAAATCACTACAGTATTAAGGGCCTTTAGACACCACTGGTGTGATAAGTTGCCTAGTGAGATAGATGGATTAGAAATTGTTGCCCCCTACACCAGCAAGTAAGCTGTATCCGGACAATCTGACCACCCAATTATATTACTTATTTTAAAATTATTCACCTTCTTTTTCAGACAGGACTGGTGAAAACTGGACTAGAGGCGGGGGCCGGTAGCGGCATGAAAGAGCCCCCGCCACGAGAGGAGCCGGTCCTAGACCCAATCAACGGTGTTGTCCAGCCACCGGTCATACCTCCATCCCACAGGCCTGGCCGAGTAACCAACCAGTTGCAATATATTCAGAAAAATGTCCTCAAAGCAGTCTGGAAACATCAGTATGCTTGGCCCCTACAGCAACCTGTCGATGCTAACAAACTCAATCTTCCGGTAAGTTAATCAATTTAGCATCGGTCATTAACCAAGTGGATTGTATTATGCAGAAAAGTACCAACTCTTTATAAATTTACTAAGTCATTATTTTATTTCTTTAAGATGTCTTATGGCCTAAAATAAAAAACACATTTTTTTATTTTTATATAACAGTATATCCCTTATTTATAGAAAGTCACTACTTCTGCTTTCCTTATATTGTAAGGTAGACAAGATTAATAATTATTAAAGTTTATTATATAATAAAATATAGTTAAAAAAATTAGTTCAAAAAATTTATTTTTGCCCTAAAATTTTTAATATTCTATGTTTTCAGGATTACCATAAAGTTATTAAACATCCAATGGATCTTGGTACTATCAAAAAACGACTGGAAAACAATTATTATTGGTGTGGTGCAGAATGTATTCAAGATTTCAATACAATGTTTAACAATTGCTATGTTTATAACAAACCTGGAGAAGACGTTGTTGTTATGGCTCAAACATTGGAAAAACTATATTTGCAAAAGGTAAGCAGGATATGATAAATTAATTTCAAATACATATTTAGATTCATTTTAGTTCCGATTAACATTTTGTTTTTTTATTATAATTGTTGCTAGTAGCTACCAATTTATAATTTTTTTTTATTTTATAACTTTATTTTGTTTTATAGCTGGAAACGATGCCCAAAGAAGAGATTGAACTGGAGCCTCCACCACCTAAAGGCTCCAAGCCAGTTAAGAAGCGGCCTGGAGTTATAGGACCTGGAAGAGGAGGTGGGACTACTGGTGCCGGGAGGGGGAGGCCTTCCAATTCAACCACAGCAGCCGCAGCAGTAGTTGCTGCCCCTGTACCTCCTGCCACTCCTCCGTCTCACCTTCCAGCGACCATACCTGGTTCAACTGCTACCACTACCGTACCTACCACACACCATAACTCTCTTCCTCCACAGGTATTTTAATATAAATATTGGATATAATATTCTTCATTATCTATTCAAATTGAATATTGCTTCTTTTATTATATATTCTATTTATTTATTTGTTATATTCAGTAATTCTAAAAGGATGTTTGAGGAACTCTAGATCAAAATTCTAGCTAATATTTCATTGAATGTATCTCAAACTAGTTTTGTGCTTAAATTTCTGCTCCTTCATTTTGTTTTTTCAAACCAGTTTTTTAAATGTAATATTATTATGCTCGAATCAACTATAACATCATCATATTCTTCAAATTACGAAGTATCGATCAATGAACTGTACTGTAAAGATCACATTAACTTAAGCATTTATATTTTTTTATAATGTATGATTAAATATTAATTAATTATTATTTTTTAAATATTATTCACAATATGAAACTCTAATCAATTTCTCTGTGATTAAAAAGCTAATAATCGCTTAACTCCTGTACTTATTGTTATGATTTTGTCTTACTGTATGTTTTAAATTAAATAATTTAGACAGATTTTCATTAGGAGTGAAATGATAACAAGTTTTGATGATCTGGAAGGCCTTTATGGCTCAATCAGTATTTTGTACTTCTCTAAGTATCTTAAAACAACTGGTCATGAGGAATTAATCGGGGTTATACATTTCAGAAATTAATATTTTTAATATGGTCCCCTACTGTAGCATTTGAAACTCATATTTTGGACTATTATCATCTACTGGTCGCAAAAGCATCCTTGCTTGCTGAAAGACTTAAATAATTCACCTCTAAAGGTTGGCCTTATATAAGCTGGTATTGAAAGTTGTTGTTCCTTGATTGAAACGTTTCAGCCAAAATGTTGCTTTGCTATGATGTAGCTCATTTTCTTTTTGGAAGGGGTGGACCATTCCTTTAGTCCTTTTTCTAGTCATGCCTCAGAAGACCACAATTGATTATTCTTTTTTAATCTTTTCCAATTTTTTTGGAGTCATGGTTTTATTTCTATCCTAGCCAATAGCAAATAAATGACAATCTTTATTGTAAAGTTTTTAAGAAGTTCCGGGAGTGGAGTAGCTCAGTGGTAGGGTACTGAGCTTCCAATGCTAAAGGTCCCAGGTTCGAATCCCGGCTCTTGGTAGAAAAATTATTTATTCTGTTTCACTGGTCATGGGGCGACCCTGGGTATGTAGAGCCTCCCGGGGTACACCTAGCCTCTATAAAGTGGGTAACCTTAGTTAAAATAATTAATTAAGACGGAAAACCTGGCGGTTGAGCATGGTCTCGGTCAAATCACCTGCTTTCATATCCGTATAAGCACCAAGAAAGAGTGCTTTTCCTAAATAGTACTGAGTCCAAGACCCTTTATGGGTTGTAGTGGTACAGGTTTTTTTTTAAGAAGTTCCATCTAGTTAGTCCACAAATCTGCTTTTCCTGTTTAAAAAAGAGACCAAGATAGACTTATTCTTATAATGCTGTGTCAAAAGCCCAATTTTTTTCTGATGCATATTTGCAGTCACTAGAATGGAAACACGCCTATGTCGTGGACTGCGATCCTCTAGCTCATATCGTTGAGTGTCTTCTAGTTTTTAGTTTAGTGTATTCAGATTTAAAACTTCTATCCAAGAAACATCTTTCCATTTTTTCTTTCACACTGTCATTTCTGAATGAAAATATTTAGTTTAAAATATATTTTTTTCTCCTTCTAATCACTTCAATTAATTTTTTCTGCATGATTTACTTCACCTGTGAGCTTCAGTTCTGAGTCATTAGAGACAAACAGAGATTGAGCTTAATCTGGTGTGAGCTCATCCTGCGTCCCAACGTTCACTGTTCCATTTTATTCTACGTTTCTCATAATCTCAACATGAGTCGAATCATATCAGCTCACCAAGTTGCGTCCGGCCTAAGTGAACTCAGGCCACACTCCCAGTCTCCTCCACAGATCTTAGACACACTGTTATTTCAAATTCTCAGCTAAATATGAATTTTTATTTATAAAAAAGAAGGCTAAAGCTCTCCCAAAATTACTGGATCCGATACTGCTTTAAGGAAGCAGAATTACACATTTTTTTTCTTTACTTTATAGCCTTAGACTTTTATATCTAGTTTTGAAACAAATTGAATGAAATTTTTTTTTCAGCACTTATAACTCAATACTGTTTCTGTTTCATTAGCATTACCCGCCTGCTAAGGTCGTTAGTTTTAATCTGAAACAAAATTTTCAAATTGCAAATTTAAATTTTGACTGGAAACATAGTTGCCTGTTAGAACTTGTCTCCTTACATCCAGTTCAAGCATGCCATTTCGCTATAGAGACGACCATCCCATGCTGATAGTAACAGCCATTTTCTCTTTGTGTTTTATTGAATTCGAGTTCAAAATCTTGTAAACATACATCCGATAGTAGTGCATCTTTTCATGTTATTAAGAAAACCATATAAAGCTTTTCCAAAGTTTTTTTTTTTTAACATGATTCAGTTGCTTCAACTTCCTTTAATTACGATATTGGAATAAAAATCTTAATTTGTTTCTGATCTTGTTTTATTTTTTTCTCTCTCTTGTCAGAAACAGTTGGATTTTTGATCTCTTATAGAATTTGCCATTTGCAACCATCATAGTCACTTTTTCCACATATTCGCCATTTTATGGCAATATTTAATCCATTTCTTGGATTCTATTAATGTTATTGTTCAATTAATCTATGGACACTATTATCCAATAGATAATATATAAATATGATTTTTTTTTCTCCTCCTTTTCCTTGCCTTTTAGGCTAAATGGGGGTTTCCCCAGGCGGGGAGGAGAACTATGCCGAGTTAAAAGTTCTGCCGGGCACCGGGATTTGAACTCGTAATAATTTATTTATCTCAAAACTTTAGTTGCCGCGTTGCTGGGCAACGCATGGTGCTGTGCACATGTGATAGCCTGCTCGCCCACCCCGCAATACATCTTTAGGATCCCTAAGCGTTCTCATGTTTCATTCTGGTCCGAGTGGAAGTGGTTTTATCTTACTTCCTAACCATACGTCCTTGGTGTTTTTCTTCTAAGTCCTCAGAACCAAAAACCTTTCCTACATCCTGGAACTCCTTACTCTATGTTCCTCTATCTATTCTCTCAATACCAGGTTTCAACCTATAGATTTATATATCCCCTTCCATAAAACTACTTCCTTCAGCAAATTCTTCATCAGTCCTGCTACCTCCTTTTGGAACTCTTTACCTCCATACATCAATCCTCATCCACTATCATTTCATTAAATTTTTGTCTCCATTCAATGATTCTGAAATGGTGTGATTATTTATAACTGTATCTTTAGTGCTGGTTAAAAACATAATTTTTCCGATGTTTATACTTAATAAGCTGATGAAAGTAAAGTGTTATTGTTTTGTTAAGGAATTTTTTATGATGTAGAGGACATTGAATCGTAGATACAGTTATTAGCTTCTTGAAGTCCTTTAATGACTGAAGAAAAGGAAGTTTTTTTTTTTTTTTAATCATTTTCAGATACAAGTCAGTGGCTTTGTAAAGATTAATCAGTTATGGTTTGACTTTGCCATTGCAGGTTGGGCAGCCAGCAGCTGTACCCTCCAACTTCAATGCCACTACCGTTGATCCTCTCTTAACACCTGGATTGGCTCCCGGTGTGGGTCCAAAAGGTGGCAAAGGGGCCGTCGTCCAGACCCCAACGGCGCCCAAACCGAAGAAAGGGGTCAAAAGAAAGGCTGATCTAGCAAATGATAGCCCTGCCGGGTTTGACCCGACCTACACCCCAGGTGACTCCAAAGCTGCCAAGGTTGGCACTAGGAGAGAATCTGGAAGGCAAATTAAAAAGGTAAATACATACTAGCAAACCTGGATCTACTTAATTTGGGCTGCTCAAGATATTGATTAATAACACTGTGCAATATTTATAAGAAACCAAAACTTATATTATAAATTTGAGGACTTCCAAATCCTTGCAAGTGGTGGTTGCAGTGGTTGCAAGTTGCTAGTGGTTTAGACGACTATTGTTATGGATTGTTGAAACCTCTCTTATTATTAAATATACAGTGAAATTCATTGCAGTTTATTTTATTTTTATTTATTTACAGTAATAAAGATTTTTTTAATAAAAATAGTTTTGTGTAATTATAAGTTATAAATTTAATTTTATATGTTACAGATTTTTTTTTTTTTTTGTGATTAATGTTACTGAAAAAATAAAATTGTAATAAAGGATTTCATTTTCATTGCTTAGAATATCGAACTTTTATTTGTTGAGCTTCATTTGGGGCATTATCTGTTATTTGTGTTAAGCTATTGTTTAATATTTTCTTGATTTTTTATTATGTCACATTGTATAAATTCTCATTTACTTTGTACTATTTGAAAAACTAATTTTTATGTGCTTTTTATTGTAAATAAATTCCAGTTTAATGAACTTTAATGGTTTTTGTATTTAAATTAATTATAAGTATATTTTTTTAAACTTTAGCTAATTTTTAAGTTTGATATAAAGATTATTTTATAACTTATTAATGTAAAACACTCTAATTTAGAACTTTTTTTAGCCTCAAAGACAGTCAGATGATGGTATGCCGTTTTCTCAAAGCCCAATGGCACCCTATTCACATTCGAATTCAACTCAGGTAATTGTTGGTGAAGAGTTATAAGCTGATCATGAATTATTTCATTTCGCAGTTTATATAATTTTTTTTCTCTGTTTCAGGCTTCTCACGAAAAGCCAAAAGAAAAACTTTCCGAAACATTAAAAGCGTGCAATGAAATATTAAAAGAATTGTTTTCTAAAAAACATTTCAATTATGCGTGGCCATTCTATAAACCTGTCGATGCTGAATGGCTCGGTTTACATGACTATCATGATATTATTAAGAAACCTATGGATCTCGGAACAGTTAAGGTATAATTAGTTGTTTTTTTTTTTAATAGTAATTCTTCAGGATTTCTATATTACTTATTTTGTGTTATTTGTTAATTTTTATTACAGCAAAAAATGGACAATCGAGAATACAAAACAGCGACTGAATTTGCTGCAGATGTAAGGCTGATATTTACAAATTGTTATAAGTATAATCCTCCCGATCATGATGTTGTTGCAATGGGCAGAAAATTGCAGGATGTTTTTGAAGTCAGGTAAGGACATTTTGTATGATTCATACACTTTTGAGATAAGATTTTTTATTTTGCAAATATTTTAAAAATGATAACCCTGAATATAGGCTTTCTCCATATGACTAGGCCATTAGCAGCTCATGGCTACTATTGAAATAGTTTTCTGAAACATTACTTTTAAGAATTAAATAAGTTCTAAAAAGCTTCTTTATTTTATTATTACTTGTGTGGTTCAAAGGGTTTAATTAGTCATTTTCATGAATTAAATTTTTTATGTCTTGACCGAAAAATTCTTATCTTTTCATTATTACAAACAGTTGTAATCTAAGAACACTCTGTATTAAATATTCATTGATACATGGCTCAAACCGATTGTACCACTGAAAGGAGGAAAGGCATACAATTGTTTTTCTCAATTTAAGTTCTTAGAACAGAAAATTAAATAATATAACAAGATAGATAGTGAGCGGGGTCGGGAGAAGGTTGTTTGATAGGGTGTAAGTGGGGGAGGATTCAAATTGCATGAAGTAATTGTGAACCACAACTGTGTGAATTGAGCTCTTATAATATAAGTTATTAACAACTGTTTTTAATTAGTCTTACTTCCAATTTTGGTTTATAAGTTTCAATAACAAATCACTGTAATCGATCAAAAAGTTAACCCTTCTTTGAGATTTTATGTTGCAGTAGATGTAGAACTCGAAAATCGAATAGAAAAAAAAATTTGCCCACCCGCCGTCTGAGCATTTTGATTCTTCAGGACTGATCTTTTTAAAATTTAGAAGTCAGAAGTCACCCGAGGATGATCCTCCTACCTCGACATTACTATCTGCCCTTTCCTATCAAGTCGGCGGCTGAAAAACCTGTGTTGCTTTAGACTGTAGTGCCCAAACGAAGTTAGCAAGTTCAATGAAACTTGACTAAAGTCTTCTTCTCAAAGCCCTTTAAATTTATTTATATAACATACGTCACGTAAAAGAAGTTCGAAAAAATATTATCAAGAATGCAGAATTCTAATGACGAATAACTTAAAACGTGAACGTTTTTTTCTGGTATGTGTAATTACTTATTTCAAAGGTATTTAAATTTCCTAAAAGGGTTAAAAAGATAGATTGAAATACGTACAGTATTAGTAAAGATATCGTGGTATTTAAATATTTTTGGTTTATTATTTTCATTAATGAACCATTGTAATGACAAAAAAATTAAAAAACTTAATCCCCCCCCTTCAGAAATGTTTGTAATATAATAACTCAATTGATAAATTAAATCATTAAAATACTCGTCGGAGACAGACATGAGTATTGTTATGCATAACAATCACTAGGATTGTTAGGCGTAACAATGACTCAAACTGTCTTATCAAGGTTACTTCAGTGGTTATAAACAAGTCACCATTTCTATCTTTCATTCGCTGAGATAGCTTCAACCTTTTAGCATATCTTATTCTTTTAGTCCTGTATCCTTTTATTTCTATTTATAATTCTGATTAAATTATGTTAAAAAGATTCGCTCAAGTACCTGAAGACTCCCCTACATCGACTGTTCCCGAAAAGGAAGACGAATCCACCTCTGGGTCATCATCTGGCTCTGAATCCGAAACTGATAATTCAGAAGATGAAAGGGCCCGCAAACTTAGTCAATTACAAGAGCAGGTTAGTTAATTATGTGTTCTAACTTTTACTTAGAGAATAGTAAGTAACCCGTATATGGACTTCTTACTTAGTTATCAAAACACTATTGATCAATAATGGTAGGTGGCCTAAGAATAGTTAAACTGCAAAAATTTGACTACAATACAGTATTTTGTTATTTTCATTCAGATACCTAATTCAAGGCAGTTATAGATTTATCAATTGAAAATACACTGCTAGTTGTGTTTTTTCTATATTGTTAATTAATTATAAATAAAAATTCATTAAATATATATCAATAAAAGTGATACCTCGTTTTCCGGAAAGCGTCTACTTCACTGTAGGGACAAAAAAAAAAAAAATCTTTAATATTCGTCCAAGTTATGAAAATACTGTACTCACTTTTTTCTAAATCAGAATTGAACGTTCGACAAAAACCTAATACATACACTTACGTACTAAAACCCATCTGGACATCATATACCTCTCAAATTTATTGTTCAGATTAAAAGATGCGATTACAAAAACTACAGTCATTTCATTCCAAAACTTATAACAGCGGTACTCATTCATCGCTCCAAATCCTAATCACACCTTTATAAATCTTATTACTTCAATTACTGTTAACTTAGTTTTGCATAGATTCAGCTTTTTAGGTCGTGTAAAATGATTTTGGAATTATTTGTTAATTATTATTGATTATGAACTAAATTAAGTTTAAGTCATTAGAAAGAAAAACTAAATCTGGTTACTGTAATTAAATGCAACATTTTTTTGTTGACAAAAGCTTATTTACTATGGTTTTTATTCTTTCCCCTCGCCAAAAGATGTCAATCCAAATGCTTATGTTTATAAATATCAAGAGCCTATGTGTTGCACTTAGTAATGAACTTTGTAACGGTCTTAAGAAATAAATTATATTTCACTTACCGCCTTGTAATCAGATTATAGTTCATGTGTCATGTACTACTCATTAAATTTTATGAGTGCTTGCTGATCGTTGCATTCTTATCGCTTTGCATTGTATTTATCTCCTCTTTAAACAGATAACTACTTATTATTCTTCTATTGTTTCATCATTTATTGTTGTTAATCAGTCTATCGAATTCAGTTAGTATCATGACGTTCAGAGAATTAGTTTTAAGAATGTTTGTATGAAAGTTTTAATGTTTAATCTTTTGATTAAATCTTAATTGGGGGTTTTAAGTTTTGTTTACCTCTGATTTATTATTATTATTATTATTTTTCTTTTATTTTTAGTCTTACTGTTCCTTTATATCGCAAAAAAAAAAAATAATGATAATACTTCTGAACTTAAATTTTTACTCTTCTTCATATTTATCTAATTTACTTAGTTCACACAACTCACTTCTGTCATGTTTTGTTTTGTTCAGTTAAGAATCATGCAGGAGGAGATGAGAAAACTTGTTGAAGAAGGCACCGTAAAAAAGAAAAAGAAGAAAAAAGATGGGTCAGGTTCTGGTGGAAGCTCTTCTAGTAAGAAAAGGAAATCTGCTGATAGAACACTTGGTAAAGCTGTCGATGGTGGACTTTTAGCTGGTGTCGGAGCGCCTGCTATCATGGAAATGAAGGCTACCGATGGTGTAAAGGCCGTTCCTCCTCCAGGCAGGAATGCTGTCCCCTCACCTCAGGTTAAACCAAACAAGGGCAAAGCCCCCGGCAGGACACCAGGAAAAACTAATTCTCAGGGTAAGAGGCCAAAGCCAAACTCCAGGTCTACCAACTCAAAGAAGAAGAATCCTGTGGTCACATCAGAGTTTAACTCAGAAGATGAAGATAACGCAAAGCCTATGTCTTACGATGAAAAGAGACAGCTAAGCTTGGATATTAACAAGCTACCAGGTACGTACTCTTTGTTTAATTTATTCTATTCAGTGTTTATCTTGTAGTCAGTAATAGTTATGTTTAAATGTAAAACATTGATTAATTAGTAGTCAATTATTAATTAAAAGTTCATGCTTATTTTCTGTAAAATTCTTTTCTAAAATAACACATATCTATCCTTTTAAGAAATTATAATTATGAAGCCTTATTCTAACATTTTATTTGATGCTGCTAATAAATATCTAAACTTAGTATTTTACATGTTAACTAAATTATTTAAGTATAGATACATTTCTGATCATTAGAGTATCATGCAATTTTCCTTATATGTTATATTGGTTATAATATCTGTGAAAAAATTATAGATATTTACTGTATCTCGCTACACTGTTATTGAAATATATATCCACGAACTAAAGGTACTGTATGGTCTTTTCAAGTAAAATGTATTTTCTTTACGTTAAAGGTGATAAGCTTGGCAGAGTAGTCCATATCATTCAGGCCAGAGAGCCCTCTTTGAGGGATTCGAATCCTGATGAAATTGAAATTGACTTTGAGACATTGAAGCCATCAACCCTGAGGGAGCTCGAGTCCTACGTTGCATCATGTCTCAGGAAAAAGCCACGTAAGCCCTACAGTAAGTTGGTGGCTGGCTTGAAAAAGTGAAAGCTTATCAACACACACGACTTTTAAAATATTTATTAGAAGTAGATTATTACGGTTTAATTAAATTATTCATAAACCTTATTTCATTTTTATTGATAGTCATAGTAGACTTAAATTTTTAATTTTGGTTTTTAGCTTTTGTTTCGGTGTGAGCTATCGAAGGCTACAGTTTCTGATGATATCACCTCAAGTTTTTTCAAATTAAGGTAAAAGAAAAAAATGCCATTAGAATTTGTGCTGCAGGCTCTCAGATATGTGGCTGAGAATTAATTTTACATTTCCCGACCTAGATTTTCCATTAAATTAATTTTTTAACATAAAACAAAAACAAATGAAATAAATGTGTGTTGATATGCTGAAACTTTTCTTTAACCTCTTATTTTCTTCTAATTTAGACCTCTTAGTGCCATTTTATCTTTAAAATTATCTTTTTTTTTTTTTAAATAATTTAGTATAGTTACAGAAAGGTCTTAAAACTTCGTTACCTTATCTTATTATCTCAATTAAAGACTACAAAAACATCAAATTATGTTATTATTCAGTTAATCTTGAATTAATTAACATATAATATTTCTTTTATATTTATATTATATGTAGGAAAAATGCACTAAGGGGAACCCGGTTTTATCCCTTCCAGTTTTAAATGAAGATAAAACTGCATGTGATACCCTCATCAAGATTTTCTCTCATATTTGTTGAATAATTTTTGGCTGTTTACTAACAGGCATGTGTCTCATAAATGCTTAGTATATAATCCTTGTTTTTGTTATTTTTAATTTGGTTCAGCATGTAGCCATCTATTTTTCTTTACTTTTGAGCTTAAGCTTCTAGTAAGTCTATTTATAGAATATTTTATTGTAATCTCTAGTAAGTCTATTTATAGAATATTTTATTGTAATCTTTTTACAATTTATATGTGTTTCTGAGTCTGTATTTCTATATATTATTGTGATATAGTACAATTATTTAATATTTATAAGTAATGTTAAGGCAATAGTACTCATTTTCGATGCACAGTTTTTAGCCTCATTAATATTAATGTAAATTTTATGCATGTGTTCTGCAGAACACGTTCCAAACTAATTGCCCAAATGAAAACTCCCCATGATTTTAATCTATGATTTATATTTTAATTTTCTCATTTTGTTGCAATTCATTCATAAACTAATTATGTCAAGTGAATCATTGAAACTCTAAATTATCCTACTATTCTGTTTCAAAATTGTAGTTAATTAGTAGTTTCAAACACCCACATCTCAGCCATTTATGATATTCGAAAATTTTATAGTGTTTGGAATAAATTTTAATTTTCACTTGCCGAATTTGGTATAAATCCTCTGATATCTCTTTAAAAAAATTTTTCACTTTGATATAAATAATTTAAATTTTTATTGTTTTTCATCTGATTGATATTTTTAAATACTGTCTTACATAATTATATTAAAAAGTATTAGTTATTTTCATGTAAATAGAGTTAGTCATTTGTATTGATCATACAATAGTCAAAATTCATATCAACATTATTGTATTTAGCTAGAAAATATTAACTTCATATTTTCTTTAATTCTTTTTATACTATCCAGTTAGTGTTTTTGATTACTACTAATATGTATTCCACCTACTTTTGTGAAACTAATTAGGTTGTGGTTTAAATTAGAGAATTCATTTTTCATTGCTTTCTTCACTTATCAATTCATTTTCATTCATTTTGTAGATAAGAAAGTTTCTGCAAAATCAAAAGATGAAGCGATGGCAGAGAAAAAACAAGAGCTAGAAAAAAGGCTTCAGGATGTGACTGGCCAGTTGGGAGGATCAGCAAAGAAGCAAGCTAAAAAACAAGGCAAGTATAGTTTTTGCTTTTTTATTTATCCATTGTTTATTATTATTTATTATAAACCTAGTTTATTTACAATGATTGTTGAAAATAGGTCAGGGAAGGCTTTCAGCATCTTCATCATCAAGCTCAGATTCTGATACTAGCAGTTCAAGTCTCTCAAGCAGTTCTTCCGACTCATCTGATAGCGAAGCAGGTACGTTATGTTTTTGACACATATATGATGGAATTGTTCCTATAAGATTAGATTTATTCTTGATAGAATTTTCAGTATAATTCTTTTCTACTGGTGCAAGGTCTGCAGGATTTATTTTTAAAGATGAATAAACAGTACTCAAATTAAACAACTGTTTGAAAAAGAAAGGCTCCATGTATGAGTGTAGTAATTACAGAGGCATAACGCTTCTTTCGTTAGTCTACAAGATAATGACGAATATTCTACTAAACCGGATATATCTATATTACGAGAATATATTAGGCGACCACAAGCTAGATGCCGAAAAGGGAGGAGCAGGCTAGACCAGATCTTCATCCTAAAACAAGTACTCGAAAATCGATGGGAAGTAGCTCAGGATGTCCACGCCCTATTTGTCTATTTCAAAGCAGCCTATGATTCTGTGGACATGAGCTGTCTTTAGAAAATCATGACTGAACTGGAAGTTCCTGGTATGTTACTGAGATTGACAAAGGCGTGTAGACACGATCTGCGTAAAATGAAAATCATTCCTGAGAGTAGAAAAATTCAAATATCTCTATTCAACAATAACCTCAATGAATGACTAATAGGCAGAAATAGAACAGCATATAACTTGCAGCTCAAACAGAGTTTTCCTTCTCCCTTTCAAAGGTATTGAAATCCCGAAAAATCTCAAATTAAGGATGTACAATGCTACAATGAAGCCAGTTCTAATACATGGCTGTGAGACCTGGACACTAACCAGTGCTGTAGAAAAAAGTGCTGAGTGATTTGAGAGAAAAATCCTCTGCACGATAACCGGAGCAATCTGGGATCAGAGTACTCGCACATGTAGAAGAAAGACCAATAACGAACTGCTTGCAGAAACTGGTCAATCAATATCCCAGCATATGATGGTTAAGATGGGCTGGTCATGTAGGTTGTAGCAATCCATCTGGAAGCCTCTACATAACAATAAAATACCATGCGGTAGGCCTAAAAAAAGCAGATGGATAGATACAACCAACAAAGATGCTATAGAGCTGCGTGCAGATAAATTGAATGAAATAGCCCAAAACAGGGAGAGATGGAGCAGGCTTGTTAAGGCGGCAAGATCTACAAGGTTTGTAATAACTAACAGGAAAAAAAAAAAAATTTGAAGGTTAAGAAGGAATTGAGAATAAAAAAACCCATCTATAATCATCTTTAGAATTTTATATAGAATATAATTATCTTTGCATGTTTAAAAAAAAATTGTCAAAATTTATATATAAACCTCCTTTGAGTGAGTGAATTTTGTAAACCAATAATTTGAATATATATTTCAATTTAAATGATATTTACAAAACAAAATTTGGATTGGGATTCATGTCATAAAGGGATCAATGTTAGGTATAGGTTTAAATTCGAAGTAGCATTTGCCACTTCTTGATCCTATACAGCAACTATTACTTTTTATAGTTCAACTTTTACAAATTAGAAAAACTGAAATTAATAACTAAATTAAGGAGTTTATTAGTTTTAACGTCTGTCCCTTCTACGTGATTTCAATTCAAATTTCTCAGCTAAAATGTATGCAATATTGAACAATTTTAATTGATAAGATCAATATCAAAAATAATTTTTAAATTTTTTCTCCATATTTTATTTATATCTATGTTTCTCAAAAATAGAATTTTAAAATATTAATGAATATCAAGAAAAGCTCTGCAATAAAATTTAATTATTGTATTTCAGTTTAGTTTAGGAAAATGACATTCTGTTACCTATTAGAAATAAGATAATACTCAATAAATAATTTCTTTTAATTTTTTGCCATATTCAAACATTTTACTCATGATCCAGAGTTCATTAATATATTTATATACACCCTATATTATAACAGTATATTATACACATACACCCTATGAAAATCTTGACATTATTATACAGTGGAATAATTCGAATACTTTTTTGTCCGGTATAGCTCACATCTCTCCTATTTCTATAGATTAGATAAATTTCAAATGCCGAATCCTCCTTTTAAATTTCATGTAGCTTTTGTATAAATGCTATATAAATTTTAAAAAAATCTAAGGAAAAGAAGAAAATTTAATTATGTTATTATTTAATTATAAATTTTTAATGAAATCCTAATCTACCATTTTTAACTAATGTCTTAGATCCATACGTAATTGATCTATTAATTCATTGATATTATACTTGATCATAAATCATAGTTGATATAACCTATTTTAAGTAATATAGGAAATAATAAGCTTCAATCCTTTAGTAAGGATATTTGCCTATTGAAAGAAGAATTCAGTAAATTGAAAAACTGATAAATCCATGCTATTATCATTAATGATAATTAGTAAATAAATGATAAATGGTGCAGATACTACTCATCTGATCCTCCATTATTCATTGACGTAATTCTAGAGCACACTGGACAACTTTCTGTTTCCAATGGGCTTGAAGTCTTTTATGTATTACTGAAGCCAATTTTAGTCACTTGACAATATAAATAATAAAAGCAATTTTTGGTTTTTTGGCTTTGATTTAGAATTCTTTCTTCCAATAAATGGTTAGCCATATGTTAGTATTTTTCTTCTTTCAAAATAGAGTGCTAGGCGTATTTTAATTCCTGTCGTTATTAAATATAGTTTGTTGTAACAAATTGATATTTACAGTTACCATGAATTTCGGGTGACACTGAAGTGTTATTATATTAGCTATAGTAACGTTCATGCATGTTCTGTTAGATGAGATTTTCAAGTTTTTATGTATGTCCAGACCAAAATTCAGTGTGTTGAATTATTATTGAACTATATCTTTTTGTGAGGTTTTATCAGCTATGAACTACATTTTTTTTTTAATTCTTATTTTGAATGAGTTAAAAGTATAAAACTCGAATTCTCCTTTCCCCTCCCCTTACATATAATTATAAACTTGTTTTCTTAAAGTTAATTATATTACCCGAACCGATTTTATAACTAGAACGATTGATTTTGCTGATCATACAAATTGAAGGAATCAATAATTTTTCCTTTGGGATATTTACTATTTTTGTTAACAATAAATTTCATAATGTCTCATACAAATTGTCTAGTACATCACACTTTTTTGTTTTGATTTGAAATCATTAGTTGACAAATAGATGACTGCTTTACAGATATTAGAAATAGTTTTAAAATGGATATTGATTTATATAAATAGTAATAGTTCAGTCTAATATTTATTAATTTTTTTATAGGTGTGAATAACCACAAGACAGCGTAGTTTGTATGAATTCCATTTCCTCAATATTATTATTAATTTTATTGAGGAATTTAAGTGTATACTTGGGTTGTGTATATTTATAAATATAGAGAGTACATAAATATATATATTTATATAAATAACTATAAAAAGAAAATAATTATGTAAGAAAGAAATGTATTATAAAATAACCTATAGATATAGAAATATATAGCCATGAGTGCAGAATATGTGATTGGGGTCAGCAAGCGCAGTTATTTATAATTATAAAGGTATGGTAAATTATCAATAGGTGAAATGACATCTTTGAAATTCCCAAGAAAACGATTTTATGACATAATGGAGAAGTATAATTGTGTGATGTGGGACAGATTAAATTTTAGTATAGCTGGAGTGTTGCAGACAATGTGACTTGGGGGCTGGATTCAGCTCTCCGTGTTACTAGTCCTTTTTGCGTGCTGTCTGCTGCCTCCAACCACATTGTTTGTACTCTGGCTGCTGAACCGTAGAAGCTCGGTTGCACCCGCTCTAGATCTTATCTTAATTTGTTTAGTTAAAACTTTGTTTCATATTGTGCCTAATATTTTTGTTAATAATCGGATGCTAGAAGTACAAAAATATTGGTAATCAAATCTAAAAATTGATTTTGTTGTGTAACCAAGCTTCTTAAGACAGCTTTTGTAGTAAAAATCCAAATATTTTTTTAATTTCCCATCTTTTATTACTATTTTTAATAAAAATGATAAAACATAAAAAGCACTTAGGTTTTATTATAATAACATGTAATTTTTTTTTTTATTTATGACTTCAATTGAACAATATATTATAAGTAACGGAACTTTTTTAAAGTTTGTTTCATATGACTTTAGTATTAAAATTTAAAAAAAGAAATTAATTTATAACTTAATTTAACACATTTTGTTATTTATTATTATTTTTTTTATTGAGAAAGCAACATAATTATTGTCTTTTTTCTTTCTTTTTTTTTTTTTTTTTTTTTTTTTTATAAATTTTACGATAGAACTTTCAAATCCTTCTTTCGATTATTCATTTGAAATTTATTAATGATTGGGAATGGAAAATTTTACTTCTTTTTTTTTTAATAATAATAAAACCTATTTAAGTACTGAACTGTACAATGATTTTCACTTTAGGAATGTATTAGGTAACTTGATTATAACTAGGGCTATACTGCATTCAATTAGAGTAATTGCCTAGTTGATGTGCAACTTAGACCCTTGGATTGGACAGTCCGCTTAATTAGGCCTTGGTGGCTTATTGGGACTAAGCAGACTGTACAATGTTATAATGTTAAATCATTAAATCTAATGTAATGTACAGCCTATTTTATTATTTTAATAAGTTTTGTCAAAAATTAAAAATTATATTAGGTTGATTATTTTTTATGAAAGTTAGTTGTTAATCATATTTTTACATTAATATTTAATATTTAAAAAAACAATTGGTCATTTTTTAAAAACTTAATATATATTTTTTAATCATCATTCCTTTGTTTTACCTCAGGAATGTTCAATCCTTCAGTATTGAAATAACCTGATGTATTATGTTTCTAAATTTTATTGGTTATTTTGACTATTGGGCCTAGTCAAATACTCAGTTTTTAATCTTGTAAAAATTTATTTACTAGCCACCGTTAGGATTTACCAAATTAGTAATTGGTAAATATTTTCTGATACTTCTATTTGGAAGGCAACAGTATAAGCACTTTTTGCTTAATTTTACTTTCTTCTAGAAAATTTTTCCGTAGAAAATATTTTTTTTTAATATTCCCATTATTGTTTTTTGATCTGATGGGTTTATTTATTTTTTAATGAATTAGGTTAACTAATTCTTAGTCATTTGTTTAATGAAGCTTGAAAATAAATAAATTAAATATGTGATAATGTAACATATAATTATTACGCGTCATCCGAACCATTAGGTAATAAAATTTTATGGGTAAATGAAATTTTGCTTTAATTAAGTAAAGTTATTATGATTTGGTATTTATGTATATTGTTTAATTCATAAAATAATGTATTATGAATTGTATAACTCTTTGCGATTTTACCATTCTTTTAGTTCACCATATTAGATTAATATTTTAGCTTATTCTTTATTTTTCTTCTCTCTTTTTTTCCTTTTTTTTCTAGTATTTTATGAAGATGAAATAATTATATATTCAAAGAAAAGATTATGTAACAAGGTGTTGTAAATATATTTTATAATATATACTGTAAGTATGAATTAACTGTGGAAAAACAAGGCGTGGAAGTAATATTGTATGTTCGTTGTGTACATTTTGTATGATTGTGAATTAATTCTTGTCAGGCAAATATTTAAGAGAGATTTAGTGTATTTTGATCATTTTCTTTTTTTAATTATTTTATTTAAGTTATATTTAATATTGTTGACCAATAATACAGTTTCTTAAGTTAAATAGCCAGAAATAAAATGTACAAATCTCAATTGTTAGTTCAGTACATTCGAAATAAAACCTTTGCTGTATGATATGTATACAGTTATAAATAAAACTTACCCCAAGTTCAACTTGTACAGTTTAAGTATTTGGTATTTTCTTTAATTATCCTCTTCTCCATTCCACATGTTCTGCACTTATGACGTTATTATATTTCTGTGTTTCAAAATATATTTTCTTCCATTTATGAGGAGACCTATTTAGAGGACATCTTTCTTGTAAGTAGTTAATGATAAGTTTTTAAGAGTAAGTTATATATTTTAGGGAAAGCTGGGCGTCCACCGAGAAAGAAAAACAAGAAAAATCACCAATTAGCAACAACTGTAAGTATAGTTTCTTTAAAATTTTCATTTTCACTCTTATTTGCCTTTAACTCAATTTAATAAGTAATCACAACTAGTTTTTGATCACTATTTATTCATGAATATTTCGGAGAATCTTTTTTTCCCTTCTTTAGCAACTAAAATAGTAAAATTAATATATTATTGGTTCTATCATGAATTAGTCATTTTTAGCATTTAAAAACATAACATTTAAAAATAATATATTTACAATGTGTATAATGCATATGATTTAAGTACATTATTGCTTTAATAAATGTACATAAAATAATTTATATTAAGATGAAAGAATTTTGAAAATTGTATGCATTTTAATTGCTAAAGAAGGGAAAAAAGATTCCCTGAAATATTCCTGAATAAATAGTGATCAAAAACTATATTACTTATTAAATTGACCTAAAGGCAAATAAGTATGAAAAGATATAATAAAATGAAAGTTAAAATTGGACAATTTAAAATTTTCATATTTTAAGTGAATTCTTAATGATCTCAAACTTGCATCAATTAAAATCATTTAAAGTAGGGAGAAAAATTAAAATAAATGCTTCCTATTTCATTCATGCCCATTTAAATTTAATTTTAAAGCTGGGTTAACAAGTTTTCCAATCTTATTCTGAATTTGTTCAGAAACATTTTTAAACTCTTGGGTTAAACTTAAAAAATAATCAATGGGTATTCAAGCACTTGTGTTCCAGTGAAATATTTTGGTTTTAACACACCAGATATACAATTTTTGGTTGAGTTCTCTTGGAACACTTGTGCTTATGTCATTCATTTCACAAGCTTTGATTTGTTTCCCAAAACCAACAGTAGACCAGATCGACCACAAACACTGAGAAACATGCAAGAGATAAACCTAATACACCGTTTACACGTACACGGTTCGGCTGCTGTTTAAATAAGCCTTAAACCTTCGAATATATATGGTATTTGTCAAAATATTTTGTACAGTACAGGTATCAAATAACTTATTCGTAAATAATTCTAATTCAACATGTAATTCATTTTGGGCAGTTCATTGGTTAATGTTGAAGTCTTTATTTTCTAGATATTTTACAGGCGATTTTTTCTCTGAAATAATTAGGAATACATGGCTGAGGTACTTGTTAGTAACAATATATAGGGTAGGGTAGATCCGTGGTTCTTGACCTGGGTTAAAGTTCCTATAGAAACAAATGTTAGACAATCTCACCTGTGAGAAAATAATGCATTAAAATTATCTACTAACAATTTTATGGTTACTACATGGTATGTGTTTTCTTATTTTTAGATAATATTAGCCTTGTGGTTTTGATAAAAACAATTAGTGACCGATTCATGAATTTTCTGTATTTGAAAAAAAAACCATTCACTAGTGTAATTTACTAATAAAAATTTATTTTTATGGGTGTGGGTAATAATCTTTGGATCAATGGCATTCTCAATTCATCAAATTAAAAGTTTTATATTTAAAATACAAACAAATTTCAATTGTCACCATAATTATCGTTACTTCAACACCTTCAGTGCTGGTAACATGCTCTGATGATGACCCACAAGTTAGAGTTGAAACGTTGGCAACTAAAAAAATCTTAAAAACTGGCTGCGCCCTGACTATTGATCACCCACAAAATTATCGTATTAGAACTAAATCTTTTATTTTACATAATACTACTAAAAATTATAATATTTCTTTTAATATAATCAATTTGTTTTTTATTGTATATAAATCCTTAAAGTATATAGACCTAGATTCTCCCCAATTTTTTCAAAAGAAGCGTGTTTTCCTATTCAGCGTTCATTCTATTGGATTTATATAAAGAATGTGTTGTCATAATAACGTGTAGGTTGGTTAAAAGAATTTTTACATCTAACTCAGATATAAAATAAATTGTTGACATGAAATATACTATAAATTGCTCAAATTACACAAACAATCAAAGGAAGTTTTGTATTTAAAGTGAATTGTTCTAAAAAGTAGAGTTTTAAGAAGTTGCGGTCTACAATTCTTATAACAAAATCAAAAGAAAATAGATGCATGTTTAAAAGGTCCAAATGTACAAGATAAAAATCTAGTTCCCCTCTCCCTAAAAATTGCTTGTTTTGTAGCTATTCAAATTACTGTTGAATGGTCTATCAAGGATATGAAAAATAGGTGTAATAGGCCAATAAGTTAAACTGGACTGAGAGCCATGGAGTGATGGAACGATAGCAGCCAATCTGAAATCACCTTTCACGACTATAGTCCAATGTTTTACTTTTTCAAAGACTGCCAATCCAATCTTTAATTTCTCTGTTCTTTATTTGAAATTTTTTTTTTGCTTGTAAGTTTGAAATGTACCAAAAAAGACAAGCTGTCGGTTGATAACTGGACAGCTCATCCAAATTAAAATATTTAATCTTCAATAATGTTCTAGTTTTATATATTTTTATTTAATGAATGCTATTTATCAATATTAACTTCTCTAAGGAATATTCCATTCACTGGAAAAAAATTATAAATTTAAAAATATAAATAATTGATTATAGTATTTTGACAACTAAATAAATAATGACAAAACTAATCATGGTTTATAATAATTTTTTTAATTGATTAAAATTAGAACCAACTTTGAGCTCACCCTCAAAAGATTCTTAAGCAAATCAAAATGTTTTTAAAAAATATTAATGTTTTTAATAAATGGGTCTGTACCAAGGATTAATAGGTATAACCATGGGGAAAGGAACCATCAAATAGTTTCTTACAAAATTAATAATTCAATATATAAACCAAAAATATCTGAGAGGAAGTCAGGGGAGAAGAAGAAACAAGTTATAACCTTATAAAACAAAATAATTTATTCAAAATTGCACATCATACAAATACATTTTTTTAATACAAATACATTATTATTAATACAAATACATTATTGTACACAATAATGGTAGGATTACAAAGGTTGTATTATAGTAATTTACAGTTAAGTATTAGACTGAATAATGGTGTGAATGCAAATTTAATATATATATATATATATATATATATATATATATAATTATATTATATATATATATAATTATAAGTTCGATAAAGAAGGGGAAAACATTTTAAGCTCAAATTAAGTATAATTACTAGTTCAATAATTGACCAACAAATTTATAAAATTAAGGAATCCCCAATTTTGTGGTTTTAAAGCTTTATGAAAACTAACAAGAACACAAAAGCTATGCTAATTGTGTTGAAGACATGACTACAAACAACACATTGAGAAGCAGGGCCATTTCCCAACTGTCCCAGAAGTGTTAGTTTTCATTTAATGGAGAATCTTCTCACTGACTAGAATAGATTAGTTAATCACACTAGTTTAATTATTTAGTGCAGTAAACCGAAAGGACTTACAGCCAACTTGAGGATATTAGGTTCAATTCAACAAAAGTATAATTATTTTGTTTCAATTTAAAACAAAATAATAGAGATATGTTGAATTGATTAATTTATATTCTTTCCCCCCCCCTTAGGTATTATTCTTTGTTGAAGCTGAGAATAGCCTGTTTTTCTTCTACATATGCAAATATATGAACATCAACAGTTAATTTTTTTTTTTGATGTAATAAATTGGACAAATGTACTACTATCAGGAAGTCAAAATTTTCAATCTTATTCTACATTTTTATGAGATTATCGGATTTGTTAATCCAAATTTAGCATTTTTTTTTTTTTAATTTCAGATAGGTTAATTTTGAACTTGAACCACCACCAATCTGTTACTTTTCTTGAGTATTTTACCTATCTTGATACGAACCCGTGCACTTGATTGGGAAAATAAAAATTTATAATTTACAATAAGTTTTTTAAGCTGGATGTAAGAGGCCAGCATCTCATGATTTTAGGTCCAAGCAAGGAATCACAAAGAAATTTTCAGAAGTGTTTATGATAAATTTGGATGAGTTCAGGCATGGTTTTGTCAAACTTGAATACTTGCCATTATATTATATGAACCGTTAATTGCAAAAGTTGTATAAGCTAAAAACTGAACCTTTAAGATATTAAGCCCTTTAGGAAAAGTTAGATAAAGCTAACTTCAGAATAATGATAGATATTTCAAAGTAAGAGATAATAGCTCTATTAAAGAGCTATCAATCTTGAACATATTCAATTATTTTTAAAAGCATAACGTTATTACACTCAGTAATAAATTAATTATAGGCACCACTTTTGCATTTAATGGTTCGTATTGATTCTATTTTAAAAGATTTATAGAAATCATGCTTGTTACTAGGAAATTTTTACTATATTGATAAAATCTACAAAGAAAATGTTAAAGGGTGACGACTGACCTGAAAAAATGGGAAAAGTCAGGGAATTTTTTTAGTACATAAATTCTTTTTTTTTTTAAATTGGAAATATACATACAGTGGATATTGTTTATAATGACCTTGAATGGGGTAAACTTGGTCATTATGATGGGCGCATGGTCCCTATATTCATCCACCTTTGACTGTCAGTTATGGCACTTGTCATTCATTGTATTGGAATCAAACAAAGGTAATAAATATATTTTAAGCAAATTGAACTTTTTAGCTTAACACACAAACAGTGTTTGTTTGAAAATAAAAACATACCAATACTATTTACTATTTGTAATATATACATCTGGGTTAAGATTGGGCTGGCAAGCATTCATTGGTTCGACCCATGGTGCTCATATGGTCACAATCTAGTTAATGATTGCGAGCCTGTTTGGCTTTATACATTCCTTACTTTATCTTGGTGCCGACGATATGGATAATTATTATACTGTTTGTAGTAATCAATGAACTAAATTACTTATGAGAAACAACATTAATATTAGAATTCCCTGTAGCTCACTTTATTTGATAATAAAGAACATCAGAGCTTTATATGTCAAGTATTTTATAAATTTTATCTCCTCAGTTTATGAATAGAAAATCGACAAAAATAAATTACTGAAGGTATAGTTTCCTAAAATAAAAAAATTCTAATCACTAAATTTGTTATTTAATTAAAAGACTTGATTTTTTTTTTACTTAATTCTTTTTGTAGTAAATATTTATTCATGTATAATAAATAAATTTAGTTATCGATTATTCATTTGTAATATTTGTTTCCTCAGACATATTGGTCAGGGAAAATTATCATTAAATAGGGAAAAGTCAGGGAATTTTAATTTAACTGTCTGCTAGCTACCCTGTGTTCTTAAGCAAAAGCTCAAGAGAACTATATATATTTCTGTTAATACCACACCAACCCCACTAATAGTGCTTTATTGTAAACTATTAATAAGCTATAATGAAATTCAAGGACCTATACTGCTGCAATCCATAATGGATCTTAGGTTCTCTGGTGCTTGATTAGAAAGTTCACTTTCATGATGTACTGTTGCACTGGAAAATGATACGGTTAGCATCCATATTCAATCTCCTGATTTTTCATTAAAAATAACTGAAATCTAAATTCGATTTAAAAAAAAAAAAAAATCAGTCCTGTAAGAGCTTATGGATATTTCGCTTTTAAAACTGATTCACAACCTATTATTGGGGTACAGTATGGTTAGAACCATATTCAATTTTCCTGAATGTCATGCCCTTTTTTTTTTAAGATCCTTTATCCAAAATCATATATTTTTATTTTGCATGTTTGGTCCAAAACTTGGTTATTGAGCTGAAATTAAACTTGGCAGTTATTAAACTGAAAGTCTTAAGTTTATGTTTAATGTGAAATAGAAAACTCTCCTGTTCATAATCCTCAATATTTGATCACGGTCTGGTTGGATAATATTTGGCTTGTTTGAATGTTTTTTGTTGCATATAAATCCGCATCTCATAACAATATATATTGTATTCCTGACTTTTTCTTGTTGATGACATTTTAACTTAATTTCAGGAATGTCTTTAATTGTTCATAAATCAAATTAATTTGACTTTGTTACACCAAACAAAAATTATAAATGTATAAAATCAGTCATGAATTTCATTTTACTTTGATAAATTATCAGAAATATTTCATTATTTAGTTGGAAAAAGTTCATTGAGATGTTTATTTTTAACTTTAAAGGAATACTTAAAGGGGTATTTATATTTTTAAAATATACATAAAATTAAGAATGCTCTTTTAAAATAATAGAAACAAAAAAAACTTTATATTAAACCAAAAACTTAACAGTGTGTCTACCTAGGATCTGTGAGTGTGGTCTTAATCAACTGTTGCATGACATGTATGGATGGCAAACACAATACTGTCAAACCTCTCTCAGCTCTACTTTATAAGCATGCTTTTACAAAAGTGTATAAATACATTTTAAACTAACTATTTTTATTCAGAGAAAACAGGGTGAGAGGAAAAATGGAAAGATATCCTTTTGATAAAAGTTACCAAACTGAAAACAGTATTCCATGCTAAAAAGTATAAAATATCCTAACAGTATACCCAGAACTTAATTTTTCTTGAATAAAAATTGAAAATTCATGTAATTTGGAATTACTTAAGAATCCATTATGTTTAGTTTAGCTTTGCCACGACTGTCTCGATAATAAGACATCATTATTATTAACTAACTTATTTACTTTGGAGTTCTAAATTCTTATTCAGGACGTTTTTCGGCAATTATTTAGTTTCTTTTTTTTATTTTGCTCTCCAGGCTGCTTCAGCTGTCCAACAGAATCAGACAGTCCCCAGCTTGACCATGACAACAGCTACCGGTACAATTGTAAATAAATCTGTCGGGGCTACACAGCCCGTAGTACCGTTAGCAAGCACCAATAAACTTACCGTACCTACAGTATCTGCAGTCGCACACCCTGAACCTGGTAAGTCCTTTATTTATTTATACATTATTAGCATTTCAATTTGTTTAAAGAAGTATCTAAAATATATATTTTTTATATGTAGTAATGTAATTTTTGTTATTAAAAAAATGTTTATTTTATTTATTGATGTAAAATTAGAAAATAATGTAAATTGTGTGAAGCTTGTTATTTCAGAAGTATAACAAATATAATCGGAAGCTGTTAGTGGTCATTGTTTTCATGTTATATTAAGAAAAAAAATAACAATAATAAAAACATAATGATCCTGACAATTAACCCAGCCGATTCAATCAATATCTTAACAAGGTTTAATCCACCTTGTTTTTGTGATCTCTTTAACTTTGAAGAGTATATGACCCCTTAGCTCCCATGTCTTGGGATGAATTTTAAAGATAAATTATATTTTATCTTCATTTTTTACTAAGTATTTTTATAGTATATCATTTAAGACTATGAACCATTTAAGTGTTATTGTTAAATACTTATGAGGTATGACATTTTTATGATTCCTAGTGAAACCTGTCGTGGCATCTCATAGTAGCCTGCCTCAACAACCTGCGAGGCCGACCGCTACAGCAGCCCCTCTCACAACCGCTAAGAGAGCGTCAATCCCTACACCTGCTACAGCCTTAGGTATACCTCCTCCTGCGCCAACCAGCCTTGAAACAGGTGGTGTATTAATATCGGTTTTTAGTCATTAAAATTTCATTCTGTTTCATCAGCGATGGTATCTCTAACCTAATGGCCACTTTAAATTACTGGAGTATGTAATTTTAATTGTGATTGAGTACATTTAAAGATTGAAATTAGAGAATCGAGAATTTTAATTTTTTGGTTATAATGATTTTTTCAACAATTAGTCACTTACATATTATTTTTAGAACATTTTTTTTTTTTTTTTTTGCAATTTTGTAGTATTATAACCTGCCCTACACATCGCAACACCTTGATATTATCTTTTTTTTGTAGTATAATATATTATTATTATCATTATATATCTCTCAAGTAAGATTTTATCAGTATACCATTTCTCCCTTTAAACTTCATCAAAACAAATGATAGAGCTATCATTTTGAAGATAATATTTACTGCCAACGACAACAAATAAGTATATCTACCCTTCCCCTTCTCCCCTCCCCCAATTTAAATCTAAGGAACATTTTTATGAAGAAAAAACTTTTTGTTTTCACATAGTTCTAAACCATGCCATTTTTTTCTATATATACAGAATCTTTTGAACGATAATTGAATTTCATTGAAAAAATAACAAAATTTTAACATTTTTTGTAGAGATTCAACCTATTAGAGACTTGTTTTGTTTTATTATTTTTAATAGTAAACCTTGTAACGTTTTTTTTTTTTTTTTTTTTTTTTTTCAAAGCTAAACAAATTACAATGAATTAGGCTGGAGGAGGAGTGAATCTTTTTCTTACAGCTTAGTACTTCTTGAGATGTGACTGATTAATGATTGACACCATTCATTAAATTGGTTTATTCAAATTAAACACAACTTTATACAAAAAAATTGGTCTTTAAAATTTTTAAATAAAAGATATTTTCGCGAAAATCTATATTTTCTTCACTATAACTTCCTCTCCTAAATACTAAATAGCAACACAATATTTTTATTTTCTTATCTTCTCAATTTTGTCAACTGTGACATCTTTTCTAATCTAACAAGGAAAAATCTTTAATCCTATTTTCTCAAAATTTAATTTGCATTTGTTTATTTCCATATTATATCACCATTTGGTGGTTGATAAATGCACTGTGTGAATTATTCTCACAAGCCAATCTGTATTATATAGTATTCTTACATCCTTAACATTTTATGTAATATTAAATATATTTTATTTAACAGGTCCTGTCGAGATTAAACAAGAATTGGATGTTCCTGTTTCACTAGCTCCTGTGCCAGACCACTTGGATTTCAAAAACCTTTTGGAAGTTAAGCCCGAGTTGAATGATATTGTAACAGGGATGCCTTCAGTATTTGATCCTCTGCCCGACTCACCCCCCATAATAAAGGAAGAAAAACATGCCATACTCCCTCACCACGCTGATGGTAAACATCTATGCCTTATTCCTTTTAACTTTAATAAAAATGCTTATTAAAACTTTTCTAGTGAATAGTTTTGGAACATATCTAGCAGAATCCAGATATTTTTGAAAATTTAAATATTAAACATATTTTAATAACTAAACCAGATTTTAATGTTCTATCGCTTGAACAAATAAGTATTTTTACAAACAATACATATGTAAATCATTGTAATTTCAATTCCATTTTTAAATTATGGCCAAATTTCTTTCAAGTAAATAAAGAGTATAATAATTTAATTTAAATTAATGTTAATTATGAAACTAAAATATTTTAAATAATTTCTTGATAATATTACCTTTTAAAATTTATCCTTCATATTTACTTGCAAATTTTCAAAATGGAGCTATAGAGAAATTTTATTTCCTTTTTAAAAAGTGTGCTATATTTACTAAGAATCATAGGTCCAAAGTTGTTACTGTTTCATGAAAAGCTTAGTAGTTGAGATTCCTGCAGTTCTTTTTTTAGTAGGAATATTATCAGCACTGTTATGTTTTTAGCCCTTTAGAATTGAAATGTGCTACAATTTCATGACAGAATAAAACTATTAGCTATTTTTTTCTTAAGTTAAACTTTTTTTTTGTGAATTTTATTTTTCACTGTAGACAGCAGGGCAGCTCAGTGAGTAAGGCACTGTGTTCCTATGCTCCAAATCTTGAAGATTTCTGGTGTACACCCAGTCTATAAAATGAGTTACTTTAACACGTTAGCTGTGGTTACGGTCCCCAGGTTCCGATATTCGTCTCGACTTCGACCGGGATTGTTTCGAACTTTGTCTATCTTATGAAGCCTCTAAAATGGTCATTTTTTAATATATTTGAATGGGAGTTGGATACATGTAAAGATAGATACAAATGTAAATAAGCATTATATCCTATTGGTCATTTTTTAATATATTTGAATGGGAGTTGGATACATGTAAAGATAGATACAAATGTAAATAAGCATTATATCCTATTGGAGACTGTAACTGTGGCTAACGTGTTAATAAAATAATTAATAAAGAGGGAAACCTGGCGGTTGAGTGTGATCTAGATCAAATCACCTCCTTACACAACTGTTAACTTAGAAACAGTATTTCCTCACAAAGCGCATAATCCCAAGGCCCTCCATGGGTTGTAGTGGTACAGGTTTTACTTCACATTGTAATTATTAGTTTTACTTAATGTATTCAATATTAAATACTCTATAATTCGTATTTGTTACAGGACATCTGAATAACTCACTTCCCCCTATAAGTAACATACCTGTTCAACCAATTATACCGAGTGCTGCACTTCCAACAACACCACACGTCTTAGATATGAACAAAAATTCTCAGCCTCCTCAGCTTCCTCAGACACCAGTTTTACCACACTCCTTTAAGCCTAAGGTATTTTATTACTTTTCATTTAATTAAAACTGTTGCAAATAGTAAAAATATATATATATGAATTTTAGATTAGATTGCATTTTAAATAAGTACTATCAATTTATATATATATTTTCTGTTAGCTACGTTATTTAAGAATATTTTATTTATTTTATGTGATGTTAATTATAGCAAAATGAGACTGTGTTATTTGTTGACTAGACAAGGGCTACTAAAAGATATATTTGAACTTTATAGTAATGTTGAGATATAATAAATTCTGAAAGGCTCATTCTGTATTAAAATGTTAATCGTGGCCTCAAGGCAGTAATGTAAAATTATATTACTTGAAATGACTGACTGTTATATTAGATTAGGCTGTATTAGACATCTTTGATAGCTGGAATTTTTCAGATGTTTATATTTCTTCTGTCTTTTTCTCTTTTTTCGTCCACCTTTCAATGTGGAAGAACTCTAAGCCAGTCCTGTGAGTCATGAGCCTTCTGTCTCATATGCAGCTGTCCTTCTTGCCCTTCATATCTTGTTGATACAAGCTCTGCATATAGCCCTAGTCCCTTTGGTCTAGCGGCCTAAATCCTTTATTTTTTACTTCACAGTTATTTTATTACCAATGCTGATATGATTCTGCTTAACGTTCTGTCTACTATTTCCCAACTCTCATTTCCATTCATCAGAATAGGAATAAATAATTCTTTAAAATTAGTGAACGTAGGAACCAAGTAAGGTTTAAAAAAATTCAGATTTGATTGCAGCTATCAAGTTTCTAAGACCTTTGTTTGTCTGGCAGGCTTTCCATAATGATATCTCTAGAACTGATTCCAACGAATACCTATTACATAACATAATCGGTTTTGTTTGAATTACCTAACCTTTCTAAGGATAAAGATTTAAGAGAATTAGTGCCAGCTGTTATAGGAGTGGTTGTAATATTATCATCCCTCATATACCTTTAGTTCATAGAATTTGCCAAAAATTGCTGTCAGTTATGATTGTCCTATACCGTTAGGTCTTTCTCATCAGCTATCACCTTAAGGAGATTGATTTCGTTCATAAGATATTAAATCTGATATAAGCTACTACAATTAACATGTTGAAAGAAACAAAGTCCAAGAATTATTAAATAGATTTTATTTTTCTTGTAATATATCTTTTTACAAAAAAATCAGAGAGATGGTTATAGCATATAATAGGGAAAACCCATTGTGTTTGTACATATCATTCGACTTATTTTTAAGAGCATAATGTTTACTTTTTATTTTTATTTTTTTATAATAGGTAGCTTTAATAGATCAGTAATGGCTTGGATTGTAGTTGAGTAAAGTTTTAAAGCAGTAAAATCATGTATGTAGTAGTTAATATGTTGTACAGTTGTGTTTTTTTTAGGAAGCTTACAATTTATCATAGCATTCCTGTATTTAAGCAACATATTTCAATATATTTTTTAACTTTCTAATTTAATTTGTAAATATCAATTTTTTATATTAGTAGTTAAAACTTCTTAAAATTATTACCCACTAAACATTTCGCTTTTTATGCTAACTTGCTTATGTACTTACTTTTTGGATATATGTACAGTTGGTTCTCTATGGTATAAGGCATTTTTATGCGTTTTTTCCAAATTCCCAAGTTTTAATTGTTAAGAATTTAAAAATTGGACAGTTATTCATCTTTGATCCAATTGATCTAAACTTTTATCTGAGGGGGAGCTCCAATAAGCAGACCCACAACTTGCTTAAAATGCATTTTAGCTAATGAATGGTATTGGCTCGGAATAATAATGCGTTTATTATTCTTTTATAAGGCCATTACTAATACTAAATAATAAAATAGTCATATTAAAATCTTATTGGGCTTAAAATTGAATTTATCTTATGAAGATGTGCCATCTCTTATTTAATCGGGTTAACTGTTAATTGTAGCTAGGTAGTTTGTTGTTAAGAATTTCTGTAACTTTGATCGGAATGGAGAAAACAAATTCATAATATTTCTCTCAAATCCATTTGAATTCATGAGAGAAGTTTTATTATTATAATACTTCATTTTTGTAATGGAATCAGTTTTATTTTGCACAGTTAGTAATTACCGTAAATTATGCAATGATTTTGAAAAATTGAGTGTGAGAAATTAGTTGGAAGCTGCATGTTCATTAATTATTACAATGAAAAGTTTAAATTGATTTCTCTTGGCTTAAAGAAGCTTTGCTTTTTTTAATCAATTTTTATGCTTTTTTTGTTTTTAGAATTTTGGCTTCAACTTTGATGGCTGCTTAAGGATTTCAAAGGTTTCCATAGTTTTTCACCCTTTTTTTTCTTTGTTTGATTTTTCAGTTTTCTCTTAAAAGCACGCAGTATATCTCTTTAACTTAAGTGTATGTATGAGGTTATGGAAACAAGGATTAAATTTATTTTTATTGGAAAACTAAATGTTTTATTTTTACCTGGTTATCAGAAAATTTTGACTTTTTGATTTAGTTATATTTGTTAGTTTTCTAATAAGTAAATAACTTGTCTGTATTTTTTATTTAATTTTTTGAAACATAACTAAAATTGGAAAATTTTTATAACATTACCTCAATACCTCGTGTTAAAACCATTTGATCGTTGAGAAATTGTGTAAAATAGCAAGGTAGCATTTTTTATTTTTACATATATTGATGAGAAAAATTAATTCACACTTGATTTATTAAGTTTAAAATCAAATTTTTTTTTCTGAATTATTTTATTGAGACACCAGTAAATAGAAATTATTACAGAAAAAAAAAACCTGTAAATTACTGTGTTGTTTACTTTTCTACTGTTTAATATCATTTTTAGTACTTTGCTTTTTCATTCAGCTACGCTTGTAATACATTTTCAGTTATTCTTTTCTCGTGATCGGTTTTAATTTGTCTTTATTCTTAATCTTAAACATTATATTTTGTCCTCAATGGCTCCTGCCTGACAATGTGAAGTAGTCCTGAAAAAGCAAGTGTCAGTGCCATAAAATAATTAGTGGGTGGGTACATCCAGGGCTAAGTTGTCACGAGGTTGGGTGGAAATCAGTAGGTTCTTGAGTGCTTCATGTTAATAAGATGAACAACCTTAGGACACAACATTCCACTTGTGGACCTCTTATTATCACAGTTCACAAAATAGAGAAGCCTTATTCTGCATATTAATCTGTGAATAGGGGATTGGAAGAGTATAGGAGAGTTCTGCTTTCAGAGGAGCTTAGATTTGGTCTCATCTCTTTAGATAGAAATTCTTAAGCTAGAGGTATGCCTCTTGCTGTCTTGGTGTGATATTTCCCTAGACATACGGGCTGAATCGGTTGTTATTTAGGAAAGATCTTTTACTTCACCGTCCTATACTACCCTATCTTGGTGAAGAATTCTTCCTAACAAAGGATAATGGTAGGCTTTTTGTGGGTAAAACTATCTGATTGAGTGCTTGATGTATTTATTCCGTGCATCGGTTTTTTGTAATTGTCAGAGATTTATTTAAATTAAATTTTATGTTTCATTTCAGTTAAAAATTAATTTTTGAGTTTCGTAGTATACTTTTATTAAGGATAAATAAATTAGTTTAAAGTTTCATTACTAAATGTTAGTATTTTTTGCTAATAAATATTAGACCAGGAAACACATTAAATTTAGTCATGAATCCTTTACTTTCATTTCTGAAGCATTATTTTCAATAATTGTAACATTGGGTGTAGTGACTTCTTTAGATATGGTGGTTACCTCGATCCAAGTGATTAAATAATTTTTTAAGAATTGTTAAGTGTTAGTGTTTTAAGAATTTTCTTGCTGTATCTTTCTTTTAAGAACTACTATCTTCTTTTCTTTTTAAGAGAATGTAATAGGCCTTTATTATACAATTGTTGTATAATTTTAATTTTGTTGAGGTTTGCTAAGTGTAAAAATGTTAACTATAGTTGTTTCTTTGTTATGGTAGAAAAAGTGTTCTCATCTAAAATTATTTTGCCTCTTATGGTTAATGAAAGTATGTTTTTAAATTTTCTATCTATACCTTACCCATTCTAACATGTGAGTCGTTTTTCAGTTACTAACTGTATATTGTATCAATGTTGGAAAGCCTTTTAGTTCGGAAAATGTGTTGTATTATTTGTTGGTTGAGTAGTTTTTTTTTGTTGTTTTTTTTTGTAGTATTTATTTTATTTTTCCATAGTTACTTCTGCTCATAATTCCTATTACTAAATTATTTTATAGTTTTATATTGAATAAATTATTATTTAAATCATTGGCATTCTTTTTGGAGTATTTAGTGCATAATTTTATTTTGCTGTTTATTGAAAATATAATTTTAAAATAGCTAATAAAAGCATCATTGGAGATTAAATTCATTAATAAAATATATATTGTAACATATCATTTTTAAGGGCATCTTAAAAATTGGTTGTGCATGCTATAATTGTTGGAAATTATAATTTTAACTTTTGTTTCTCTTGATTTCAGACTGTCGAACAAAACTTGAAAAACGCCAGTTCATGGTCTTCACTTGCCCAATCTCCAACACCTGCTCTTACCCCAACTCCACCCACTGCAGCGGCACTGAAGTCATCGATGGCTGACAGTTTTCAAGCATTTAAGAAACAAGCTAAAGAAAATGCCAAAAAGGTAATGTGCTTAGTACACGAAGTAAAGTGTTTTTTTTTTCTTGTTCCTCTTAAATGTATTTCTCATTTAGGAGAGAAAAAAAAATTATAGTAGAATCTTAGGAATTCTGATCCAGATTACCCAATCAATTTTCAAGAAAGTGGCTCACTCCATGCAGCTTTGTTCGGAAAGCCCCTTATATTTTATTTTATTCCTTAAGTTGTCACTTGGTTCAGAATTAAATTTTCAATTTGAATAATAATCACTTATTTTGTAATAAATATTTTTCTCTAAATCCCTGTGCTTCTATAATGATTAAAAAAAAAATTAAAATAGTATGTAATTTGGCACTTAAACACTTTTGCTTTCTTATGCTTCAATTTTCTTTAACTATTCTAACAATACATAAATATTAAATAAATAAAATTTCGTTTTTTTTTAATTTAAAGCTATTGGTATAAGGTTTTAATTTTTAGTTACTCTGCAGCTAGGATTACACATGGCATATTATGCCATTACTGTAAGCATGTTGGTTGTTATATCTGAATATACATTAGTTATGACAAATATTTTTGGTGTGGAATGGAAAATTTATCATTCGCTATTTATAATTAAATAGGCACTAGTAATTTTGGCCTGATCGGTGTCCAGCATGATTGAGAATTTACTTTGATAATAGAACGGTAATCATTGTTTCAGCTTAAACTCATGCCTGTTTCCATTTGCTAAATGTCTTGATCAAACATGCTAATTTGTTAAATGGTTATTGGAGGATTGCAAAACATAGACAAAATAGTTTTGTTTTATCTGATAACATACTATTTATTGCTAATATTTGTTTTTTTATGGCAATTACATGGAAGGAAGTGAAGTATTGTGTAAAAATTCCAAGCAAACTCATTCAAAAAATGTTTCAATTTTTTTTTGTTATCTCCTAATTCTTCAACAATCCTTAAAAATTCAAAAAGTCCTGAATGGTTTTGTTAGTTTTGGAGCAATAAGAGGTCAGTTGATCTTCCATTTACCAAACCAAAAATCTTGGTCTATCAGCAGTTTATTGAAATAGACATTGTGCCTGCAGATAATTACTGTTATGTTTCTCAATTCAGACAGTACCTTTTACAAAAATTACCTTTTTATAATTTCTAAACAGATCTATTGGTGTTCTGCCTGTCTCTTCTTTTGGGAGAATGATAATGCTTTCTATTTAATCTATCTTTGTTTACCCTTTTTGTGCATTATTTGATTAATTTGCTTCATATAGCAGCGTGCCCTCATTGAGCAGCAAGAAATGAGACGGCATCAAAAAGAACAGGCTGAAAGGGAAAGATTACGTGTTGAAAATGAGAAGAGGAGAGAAAGAGAAGAAGAAGAAGCTTTGGAAAAGGCCAGGTAAATATAATATAATTATTAATTTATTTATTGACCTTTAAATCAGAGGTCTCCAAACTTTTAGGCCACATTGTGACCTGTTCTTAAGTCCCGTGAGTCATGGCTAGAGATGAAAAAAAAAATCTTGTTCTTTAAAAGTCACTGTAAAAAGCTTTCTCAGAGAAAAAAAAAAAACTTGCAATAAATATTGTAGTAAGGTCATGTGTGATTAATGTGCTAAATTTCATATTTTTAAAAGTTTTTAAAACTACCATGTAATCAAAGAAACTTTCCCTAGCCTGATGAGACTGTAGTTTGGAGAGCCATGTTTTAAATAATTAAATTGTCAGCAGTAAACATTTAAATGTTACAATTGGGATGGGCACCTCATTTATAATACCAAAGCAAAATAACAGGTAGCAGTGTGGCAGAACGAAAAGGTCTGCAGAAAGATTTTCTATAAAAATAAAAAAATTAAATATAATAAAAATTCTCCAAACTAATCAACATCAGCCGTATTCTGATTTGTCGGGATAATTGATGCTTCATTTCTTTATTTATCACGGTACAGGCCAACGATGGACCACGGGTATATATCATTTCAAAATTGTTTTCTATTCTGCCCATATTCTTTTCATTTTTTTCTCCCATCTCTCTCTTTCCTCAGCCCATTTCTTACTTTCTTGCTTTTTTCTGCTACAATACCCATTATATTTTTCACTATTTTCCTGAATTTATCCCTATCTTTGTAGTCTTCCACTTTGATACCCATTTTTTTATTTCTTCTTTTATTAATTCTGGACAACCTTTATATTTTTCAATCCTATTACTTTATCGAATATTTGTTTGTATAACCTTATTCCAATCCATTCTCTTCATATTCCCAAAGAACTTTAATCTCCTTTTTCTTATCGATGGTTCCAAGTTTTCATTCTGTTCATAAAGCTCATTGTTCTTTTTTAATCTGTATTCTTCCCGCACCTTTCTTGGCCCATATATTATTCTCAGAATCTTACTTTCTGTTCTCAGTAACAATTCCATGTTGGTAAATCCCATAGTCTCCGCTCCACAGAGTATCACTGATTTTATGGCTGTTTCATAATAACTAATTTTTGTCTTTTTTCTTTCGTTTTATTATACAAACTCCTGACTACGAACCTTACTTTATCCATTTACTTTCCTATTCTGTGTTGCTTGCATGTCTCCCCCATGGTAGTTTACAAGTTCCCCAAGATATTTAAACTGTTTCACCGACCTGATTTTTTCCTTTATCATTAGTCATTATTGGGTTTTTTTCAAATGATATTTTTAACCTGGCTCTTTCTGCTATTTCTTTTAGTCCATTTATCTGATTAACTGCTTCTTGTTCACTTTCCGCCATAAGTGCTATTGATGCTTTAATATATACAAAAATATAGTTTTTATTAACAATAATGGCGTGGAAACGTTTCAGTGGAATCATCTCCATCTCTAAAACAATTGCAGCACTCATATTGACTAGTCCACATATAAAGAAAAACATGGGTTCTAACAGTCAAGATATGTATTTTTTAATGTAGCCATGGCTTAATTTTTTAAACATTTATCATTGTGTGTTCGATTATCCACATTCAAATAATTAACCTTATATTTTCTCTAATTCATTATTTTACAAATTAACATAATGAAATTATTGAATTTTATGTCTTGGTGTATGTATATGTAAAATGTATTCCTATTCCGTATTACATATGTTGCTGCTATCCTTAACTATTGAGATCGATCCGTCCTTGAATAAGTTCCTCTTTTTTTTTTTTTTTTTTTTTTTTTAATATTATACAAAACCATTTATCTTAGTATTTACATGTATCAATTGATATCAGTTTATTTTGAGTTCTAATCTATAGTTAACTTAATTTGTTGATAATTTTATTTATCACACTTTTAAATTTAAATTATCACACTGTAAATTTAATCATTTTTGACACGTTTAGCCTTATGGTTGTTAAATTAAATATTAGAAATAGTTATGTTGGAAACAGGAAGGCTGCTGTAGTGGCTTCTGGGGGAAGAGTTGAAGAGGTTAAAAATGCTGCTATTGACGAGAGCTCCAGCCCTAGCACATCAGACAAGGCTGCTGCGGAACGAGAGCGTCTAAGGCAACGAGAGCAAGAGAGACGGCGGCGAGAAGCGGTTAGTAATTCATTTATTTTCCATATGTCTCATACATATAATATAATATTTAACTCAGTAATAGCTTGCTTGTCTTCTTTCTTTTTTTACTCTTAATATTTGTGAATTTTGAAATGCCATAATAAAACTTCATTACAATGCTCTCCTAGAGTCCAGAGAAAAAGATCACTATAACCAGAAAAGTGTGTAAAATTAATAAAATAAATTTTATAATCTGTTGTTCCTTAGAACAAAAAAAGTGAAAAGTCTGCAATTGATACAAAGCATCTATTGTTTTCGTTGATTTTGTTTCATTCTCTTCGTCGTGTTCTTCAGTTTTAATCTATTTAAATAGTTCATGATGATCTATTAGAGAAAACAGAGATGATAAAGTCTGTGATTCCTAAAAAAAATGACCACTTGAAGAGACTTCTGTTTCAAATTTAGGATTGATCGTTTTTGGAGACTGAATGAACCAATGTTTCTCTATGGTTTCAAGCTCTTTGTGTTAACCAGTTATAATCTTTCATTTATTGGTTCTATCATGTATAGAATCAGCTGCACCTAGTTTTTTGTTAATAAATTTTTCGAACTGTTTAATTGAACTAATTATTTCAAGAAGTCGTGGTGGCCAAACGGCCAAACAAAATACGTGTTGCCTTAGCAACCTGATAATCCAAAGATAATGAGTAGAAATCCTGGTGCCAGAGGGTTTTTAACTCTGGCATTAATACCATAAAATTAATGGCTTAGAAAACGATTTTCGTGAAGTTTTTTTATCTTGAAAAAGCAACTGAGGAAAAAAATGTTATTCATATCCATAAAACTAACAAGCTTTCTACTCTTGGAAACATCTAACTATAATTTAATGGAAAATAAAATTAAAGGAAAAATTCCAGAAAGTTGTTACAAACAGGACAGGAGCATTATAATGAAGTTTTACTGAATTTAACCTTATAAGGGTGAAAAAAAAAAAAAAAACTATTGAAGGAGGGAATGCAAGCAATCTTTGCCTGCATAAATTAATATAAATATAAACTCCCAATCAAACTTTTCAAAAACCCAAATCCACTAAAAAGGAGGTTATGGATGGACATTGGGGACACCAATTTCAATGAAACATTTTGGTGATACTAGGTCAAAAAATATTTGGCTGAGGGTGCTTACCAATACTCTCTGGGAGCTGAGAAACAAATATATTATAAAATTTTATTGTTTTTTTATATTAATTTTCTGACTTCGCTCTGCATGAATTTCTAAGTTATTATATATCAATTGATTTGCTTTTTTATGTAAAACGAGAAAATAATATTGCTAATTGTTTTGAACAAATTCTAATGTACCATAAATTACAAAAACTCAAAGACACTTGCAGTAAAGTAAAAAAATTTTTGTCATAAAAAAGCTATTCAGATTCATTTTTAGAACTCTTAAATTCGAGTTGTGACGTTTACTAAAATATTCATAACTCCTCAGGATTTTGTTGTCAATGTTACTGCAACCGTTGGAAAGCTAAATTAATGCTCTTCAAAACTATACTGATAATGTTCGGATTTTAGACCTTCTATAAGATATTAGTGAAGTATAATTCATTTATTTTTCTATTGCAATGAAAATTTCCTCAATATTTAAATATTTTTAACAGTTATAATATCTATTGTAATGCTAAAAACATAGATGGATCTCATAAGAGTTATTAATAGAAGTCTGAGCAAAATATTTACATTTTTCGATTGTAATGAAAAATCTTCTTCAAGGGTTTTAGAGGTGAAAAAAACAAATATCATCTTTATCCCAATATTTTCAAGGTTTCAAATATTTTTTTAAGGAGAAACAAAGTTGAGATTTGTATTTTGCACCTCAAAAAACCATTAAACACAAATTTTTATACCTATCGAAAAATACAAATTTTTTGCTCCAAATTTTCGCAAAAGAAAATCACAAACGTGATAACTGAGACATAGCTCCATTTATTCATAGGAAAATTATCATAAATTTAAGTCTTTCATATACATCAAATGGCACAAACCAGATGCTCATACAGAAAATTAGGATTGGATATAAAAAATAAAAATGTTTGTGGAGATCTTCTTTATTTATTACTTATAGCTTTCAAGAGCAATAATTATTTAACTTGCTAAATTTAGCTTTCCAACAGAGGAGTTATATTTTAGTATTTTTAATAAATAGTATGAAAAAAACTCCTCAGAAAATTAAGTCCATAAATTTATATTTTTTGATTTAGAAACAAACTCGTATTTATTAGTTTTATCAGATCCTAAAAACAAAAATGAATCGCTTTTTTAAAACAAAAATTCTTTGCCCTACTTTACTGGAATACTGGAAGTGTCTTGATTTTAGTAATCTAGACTTTGTTGAAAACAATTAACAATATTGTTTTCTCATTTTATATAAAAAAACAAATCGGTTGATGTATAATAACTTATAACTCCATGCAAAGCAAAGTTCCTCCTAGGGCGCATTGGCAAGGACCCTCGGAGATAAGTCAAGTATTTTTCAACCTAGTATCACCATAAAAAGTTTTATTGAAATCAGTGGCCCCTCGTCCGTAACTTCCCCATGGAAGTATAATTAAACTAATTCTATAATTTCTACCACATCCAGTTAAAATAGTAAAGACTAATGTTGCTAAAATGTAAATTATATTATGTAACTACTTGTAAGCGTTCCTGTGACACTTGAAATGTTATTAACAATTTAAGCCATGAAATTAAATGACTTAGTTGTTCTCTAAGTCAAGTAAAGTAAAATTTGTTACAAATTCCTGAAGTTTTACTAATTGATGATTCCAAGTAGATAATCAGTGACGACGAAAGGTTGAATTTAAACAGTTTGTCCAATTAATAATATCAGTAAAAAGGTATAACATATACTCAAAAGATATTGTTTCACAAAATCTAACCCTCTAAGAAACATAATTGTAAAAGTATGATAAGTTATTCCTGAAATGAGAGTTGTTGAAACTTGGCCCTCCATTAGTTTTTTTTTTTTTTTATCGTTCTTAAATTTATATTTAAATACATGTATAAAGAACTTATGTTTTTATGTTTTTTTTCTTTTTCAGTTGGCTGGACAAATTGATATGAATAGACAAAGTGATTTAATGGCTGCTTTTGAACAGACCTTGTAATTCTTCGAGGGCAGTTTTATTTTCTTTTTCTTTTTTTTTCATTTTTTTAAACAAAAAAACTTTAGTGAATTCAAAAGACTAAAAAGAGTGTGTTATTTGTATATATTTATCTTTATAACTGGTATTCTATTCGAAATTGATGAGTATTGATTTTGATTGTAAATCGGCCGGTCTTAAGAAAGAAATCAATTCGTGGAGTTTGTGTGAATGTCTGTTGTTAATATTGCCGTGCAGCTAATAAACTGCCAAGGCCTAAACTATGCTCAAGCCTATAGCTCTTGTGTTCTATATAAAGTACATATATGTGTGTGTGTGTATGTATATATATACATATACATATATACATATAATGTGTATATATATGTATATAATACAAATAGTTAGTATTATGATACTAAGTTCTTTAACTTAGCAAATTAAAATTAATTTTATTTAAAAAAAAATTTAATGATGAAGGAAAACAGTTTCTGAAATCATTTATATATATATATATATATATACATATATATATATATATTTTTTTTTTTTTTTTTTTATTAATGAGAAACATATTATGACATAATATTTAATTTGTGATGTAAAATTGTAAAGAAATATATATAGTAAATGTGTGGGCAATGTATTTTCACCCTATTTATTGTTTCTTATCACTATAAATTAACTTTGTCCATGTGTATAATACAAATCGTAATAATTATCAAATTTATTTTCATATGTTTATACAAATGTTTATATTGATAGAAGATATAATAATTATTGTAATGATCGTTTTATACATATTGTTTTAATTTGTTATTTAATTTTATATACCTTCTGATTATATCTATAATTTTAGAAGTTTTATAATGTGTACCACATTTGCTGATGAATGCAAAATAAATAATGTAAATGTTGTTGGTTGCATTTATAGGGGTATCTATGCACACAACACTAACATTTTACAATTATTGTAATTTCTTGAAGCAAATCACAATTTAGAAAGAATTGTTTGCCTTTTGTAAAATATATATATTTTTTTTTATATTTAGATGCAGATGTGAATATGTTATTTGGAAAAGTTGTGTGAACAGAGTAATAAATTCCTGCTACTACATGGATTTAATCTCTGACCCCGCTCTTTTTAGTTTTTACTAATTATAGATACGTAGGTAGATAAGTGATTATCTCAAATTGTAGTTTATTTTTGTTTTTCTAAATACTTGCCCCAGGTGTAGAGTGGAATTCATGGTGGTTTTATTCGAAATGTAACTCGTTATTTTAGTTATCCATTAATATTAAGATTTGTGTTCATACTACGTTACCTTGTTAGCTCAATTGCAATAATAAAATCGTATATCTTATATAGTACATATATAATATATATATAAATATAGTTGTCTAAAAGAAAATTTATGCTTATTTTTATTATATTTATATGCAGTACAATCAAGTCTAGTAGGTAATTAATTTTTCCATGTAGTAGCTTTTTATGAAGTACTTTTTATATAGGGTTCTAAGTTTTTCGAGGGGAGATATTTATTTTAAATGTAAATATTATATATTTTATGAACTCAACCATGTACATAAATTTATAATTGGAGTACTTAATTGGACATCATTCCATTAAATAAAAAAATTACTGCATTGCACCTTTGTAAAAAATTTGAAAAAAAAAAGAAGAAAAAAAGAATTTGAGAATTAGATTAATGGTGTTGTGGGTTTGTACAACCTAAAATTACTAACTTTTATACATAAAAAAACTAATAATAGGTAATTGATACACTAAAATAGTCAACAAATGTATATATTTAGGAAATAGTAATATTGTATATTTGAAACTGATATTAAATAGAGAAACCTATTTATATTAGATTTAGAAAATTGATTTGTCATTCAGTGTTTCTCATGTTATGAAAAAAATATTTAATAAGAAAAAAAAGCATTCAATTTTGTTCTTTGTTCAATTTAAAAAATAAAATTAAGTCCATAAGAAGTGTTTAGATGTGATAATGTCACTCTCGAGATGCTTCCTCATCAATTTATTCTAAATAGTGCATACTTTCATTAATTTATAGTTTTATAATTGCACATTATTATCTAAAAATTTGTTACTTTGGATTTGACAGATTAAAAACATTACGACAATGCCATTATAATTGTATTCTTGACCATAACTTATTTATATTAACTATAATCATATGAAAATATGTTCCTTTTATTTTATTTTTCATAATGACCCAAATATAAAGCAAATCACAGTTAAGATTGATACTATCAAAATAATTTTCTTTGTTTTAATAAAATTAACTTTTTTTTCACATTTAAGGAGTTTCTCATTTTCTATATTGCATGGAAAGTTTGTTTTCCAAAAATATTTATTATTCTCAAAATAAAAGAGATATATGTAAATAAAAATCTTTTATGTGTAACCCTATCTTTACTATGTTGCATGTAAATAGTTATTTTAAGTTTAATCAATAAACCATTTTCTTGTATCTATTGGTGTTTAGATTAAACGGTTTATTTTTGTTATACAAGATTATACATTTGTTTTTGTGTTCATTTTCCTGATATTAATTTAGTATTAACCTTTCCGTATTTAGTTGGAAGGTATGTTTTATTAAAACATATGTTGCTATTTGATTTCCTTTATTTTAATTATATATTAATATTTAGTTTAAATTTGGTTATTTAAAAGAAAATGTCTGCTATTGATGCTACAAAGCGCAAACTTGCCATAAAACCCCGTTTTGTGCCTTACATTGAGAAACATAGAATATATGAACTACTATATGTATGTAAAATTAATTAACAATTATTGTTTTAGTAATAATTTTAATGAATATTTCTTTGTTTTCCTTATTCCATTATTACATTAATGAAACCATAACAAATTTTTGTATGATAGTTAATTTTTATTTACTTGTCATATGGTGTTATAATTCAGTGAAATTTTTTTTGGACTCACCTTTTTTTGTTTTGTAAGATTTAATTCCCTTGCTTACCTGTAACCTATCCCAGAAAGTAATAACGAATGATAGTTTTTTTTTACTCAATAGATTGTGTTTTCTTAATTCTCTAGCTACCTTGTGTAAATTATTTATTTTTTTATATTATGTATATTAAATTGTTTTGAACAAAGGAAATTGGTTAGAGTGCGGATGCTTTTATAGTGAAAATAATTGTTTGAGTTGTTTAACCAACCAAAATGGACTTAAATATATTTTTTATTGAGGTGGACTACTAGCGTGTTAGCTTTTGATATTTAAGTAAAGAACTTAAATAAGTTTGGTTACCATTTAATTGAGGATTAGGAAATTACAAGTGATCATAAACCTCACTGTGGGGAAGGCGAGACCTACCATCCCGCAGGATGTAATTTGCACACTGTTTGCAACTCAACTCTTTCGGATATCATAGTTACCATTTAACAAATAATGGGTCGTAAATTGCGAAAGCTGGCGAATTTATATATTTTTAAGGTGCCTAGTCATTATAAATGTCAACGTTACAGGATTGAATCCTGCTTATTTCTATTGTTCATTACAGCTCATCGCATTAAGACTTGGGAACATTAGAACCATTTAGATGAATGGCTGATTGGTTGTCTAGGAAGACAACAAATATATGTATATTTACTAAACTCCCACTTTATTTTGTATTTATTTAAGTAACTTGGAGTTTTAAAATAAAAGAAGTAATCATTTATATATAAAACAACCTTTGAAAGATCGAAGGTTTAGTACTTCCTAAGGAAGCTACTCATAACAAGGTTTTTTCCCAAATCATTAAAGCATCCAGTACCTACTTCTTAAGGACATTGCACAAACTATGGGAAATGCAATTATCTAACTTAACTATTAGCGCTAAGCCCTACTTTTTTTTTTATTTCTCTTGTTACTTCCAGCAAATGGTAAATATATAAAACAGGCATAGAAAAAAAAAAATTAAATATTTGTTTTTTCCCTCAGTTTGTGAAATGTCTAAACATACTCTTAGAGCTTCTATATCCAGGGGGTATAGGGTCTTCTATATCCAGAATTGAACGATAGCTGACATAATAAATAGATTATCTGGGTGTTAAGAATTTAAAATCTGTTCTTTCAAAACATGTAATTATTGATGTAGTGTACAACATTCAATAAAAACCTTGGTATTAAACACCATAACAGCTAATAATGGTCTTTAAGTAAACTAGAACAATGAAATGAAACGAGAAATATTTTTATTCTGGGACTGAAGTCTAAGAATAATGACAAGATTCAAGAAAAATGTTCATTAGTCTGGTATGTAGAAATAGAACAATCAGCAAATAATTTCATAGCATCATACCTTAAAATATAAATAGTATTTGCAAACTTAATTTCCTGATTTATTTTTATGTAAATTTTATTTCTATTTAAATCAGAGTTGAATAGAAAAAGTATTTTTCTTAAAATCGCTAAATTCTCGTTTTATTAATACTAAGGTCAAAATGTTAAGCACACGTAAATACTGATTCATTAAATTTAATTATCCAAGAATTAATCTAATTTACAATTACTTGTTTAAAAAAATGTTTTAGGACATTGCTACTGCTGTTGCTACTCGTAAACCCAAAGATCATATTTTGTTTATAAGAAATTTGTTAGATGATATTAATGAGAGGCGTGATAAACCACGTATTATCATGATAGCTCCACCACATCTTTGTGAGTATCAGATTTTAAAACATGAGAGTCCTTAATGTTTTAAATAAATTTGATATTTAGAGTAGACAATGTATAAAATAAACACTGAGTGTAAGAGGAATAAACAACTGAAATAAAACTATCAAATGGTCGAGTATTATCAATAAAAAAGAGTTTAGTTTGCTTTAATCTGTTTTGTTTTTTCAGTTTAAATCGATGATTAGTTTAAATAATTTTGATATAACGTTCATTGATATAATTTGTTTATAAAGACGTACCTAGGGAATTACAAAATTCAAATTTATTGCTTAGGTAACATTATTCCTTGCAACTAAATTAAATTATCAGTTATAATTACTTTATTAAATTATTTAAATTGAGGTAGATTGTATTGCCGTATTGATAATTAAAAGCAGCTCAATGATAGTCACTGATTTATATTAATACATAAATATACATATATTGTAAAGATTTTTAATTTTTAAATATTTATAATAGTGAAATTGAAATTATATACTTTCTTAGGTTATTAAGGTTTGCAAATAAAACTTACAAAATATTCTTACAATATTGTTTATTTAATAAAAACAAATTTATAAAGAAATAGGAAAAATTTCAATTGAAATATAAAATAACTTTTTAATGAAGAAACTATATATACAACTGTATATATACCAAAAAAATCTGGTGCATGCAACACACAACTTTCACTTACCCCTCTACTTTGAATAGAAATTATTTTCTTGCCATGTTGGGCTATTATAAATTTTTTTAAGTGAATAAGTGAATTTTAAACGGAGCTAAAGCCGACAGATAACAAATGATTAAGACCATTAAAATTACAAAAAGTCTATTTATTATATTGACGGTAGGCTATAAAAATCAAGTTTTATAAATCACATAACTTCAGTCTTTGAGCCTTTCAGCTGACAGAATGACTTAATTCCAATTTCAACATTTTTTAAAATTTATTTATTGAGTATTACAACAATCTGTCACATGGACATTAGTTATAGTGAGGTAGGATAACATTCACACTGTATGTACAAAAAACATAAAATAAATAGAAGCAAAATAGCAATAAATAATAATCAAAAAGTATATACAATAAGTAAAATAAAAAAACCTAAAAATAAGAAAATTAAAACTAAGCAAAAAACACATGCATACCTATAAACACTATTTACTATCAGGCGAGGGAACTCCAGGAGAACCCTGGGCTGATCTCTCAACCGCCTAGCTGATACTAAAGCCAGCGGAGATTGATCGAGAGCACTTTAACCACATACATTCATGTCTTGAGTGGAGAATCTGGCCATTGTCAGAACTCCAATATATACAATCTACAAAAGATTGCAAGGCCACTGCCCTTTCAACCTTCTTGGAGGATTATAGGGATGCTTGATGTTGCAGGGATTGTGCAAGAGGATTTGGATGATAGGTAAGGTTCTGGTGAAATTTGGAGAATTTTTCTGGGATAAGATCTAGTAGCCCTGGAGCCAGGGCCCAAAGGAACAGGAAGGTTTGATTGTAAATTACGAAAGTGTATGTTATTCTGAGTAAAAAAAACCGCCGTTCCGGAGCCGCTGCTTTCAAAAATGGCGGCTGATTTAAAGAATATTAGGCCAATAATTTGAGGATCGAAACGGGAAATCCATTGCGAAAAATGTAAGAAAAGTTTCTATTTTTTTAACTTGTATATATGGGTTTAGACATGTAAAAAACAAAATTGCTAACGCAGGCCACCAAGGGAAAACTTTTTACAGCCAAAAAAGTCAGATTTTTTCGATATTTTTTGGGTTTTTCATCTATAACTCCCAAACAATGCATCAAAGCGAAAAATGTGTTCTTTAATAAATTAAAGAGCGTTAAATTTTGCGTCAAACGAGTACATATACTTTAAAATTTGGTTTCGCGGTAAGGTATAAAACCACGGTCAACCAACTCCGAGTTTTACCAAATTTGCCAAAAACTGGGACAAATTACTATAAATGGCCCTGTAACTTGGAAATGAGTTCCCTAAGAGGAAAAACCCATAGAATCAAAATTGTAGAGCATCAAATTTTGCGTATACTGGGCACTGACATTTTTATTGTTGACCAATTATATATCTCGAATCGGGATTCGTTATTCCTTTATAAAATTCGGTATATTTCGGCACATCTTTTACCAAAATCTTTTGCTATTGAGAGGTGGAAAAGAGGCTTATACTGCATGTAAATAACCAAGTCCCGAAAAATGTTCTGTGTGTCTATGTGTCTGTGTGTGTGTATGTTAGCAGTACAGCTAAAAACCGATAAGTCGTGCGAAACTGATACTACGTATTTAAGATAGGTATATGCCTTAGATGTAACAGCATCTTTTCTCTTAAAATCGGCTTACCGGAAGTGCCACCACTTTATATCAACGCTGAAATATTTTTACAATTTTCTCAAAAACGGCTCTAACTATTTTGATTAACCTCGGTGTATCATTGTATAATTATGTGGTCGTTAATATCAATCAGGTCTTATCACCATTGATGTCACTTTACAGAGCTAAAGGGCAAATGTTCATATACGTCTTCCTCTAAAGTACCTTTAATATGGTTTATTTTAAAAAGTTAATCATCTCACATTATTAAAAGTTACGAAAAAATGCTAAATATAACTTTTGAAAGAATTAGATAATTGAATAAAAGAGAAAAAAATAAAAATGCTTATCGAGATCGAAAATGAATCTCCGGAAATACTAATCAGAAGTTATACTATAATATATCCTTAGAAAGCGGAGAATTTTAGAAAAAAAAAACAATATCTAATATAGAAAGTTGCAGAAGGTAACGGAGAGTGGCAAAAAAATTATAATTTTTTAAAACTAATAATATTTAACGTAAATCATATGTTTTCAAGGGAATTTAATGAAATTTACTAACTAAATGTAAACTTTTAAAATATTTTATAAGTTTGAAAAAAACATTTAAAATCCACCTAATCAAGGCAATGGTATTGTTTAAAAAACTGTTACATTGTACTTGTGTGAAGTGCAAAGTAAAGTATAAAATCATTTCATGGATGTATTAAGCATATGTTTATAACCTTAAATACATTTACTGTAGTTTAATAACTGTAGATATTGTATTTAGATATTTAGGTATCTGTCATCCGTTTATTCCGGAAAATCATCATGTAACCTTTTAGAAAATTAAATTAGTGAATAGTTTGATGAAATTTCCTTTTGTGATATTCCAACAATATCCACTTACAATTAGTGTGACAACTTTTGACCTGTCTATGACAGATAATGCAAATCTCTTAATTCCATTTTAGCAAACTTTGCAATGGAAAATAACAGTTTAATAACTAATAGTCGTACAATCCATAATCAACAGATCGTACAATCCATAATCACCCGGTGATATAATAAATGGGACTTTTGTTATTTTAATGGTGTTTATGATTTGTTAGCTGTCATTTTTTAGCTTTAGCTCAGTTCAAAATGCAATTCAAAAATTTTATAATAGCCCAACATGACCAGAATAATAATTTCTATTCAAAGTTGCAGTAAGTGAAAGTTGTGTATTACGCGCACCACATTTTTACTTTACTCAGAAAAAAATTTAAAAGTTTACATTTAGTAAGAAAATTTAATTTAATTTCCTTGGAAACATGTGATGTACGTTAAATAATGTTAGTTTTCTGAAATTATTATTTATATTTTGCTTCCTGACTACCGAAGGTAGGAAAGTATTGTATTCGTGCGAGAATTAAAAAAAAATATTGTGCTCAGAATCGAAAATTTTCACTCGCGTTTTACGTTTCAGACATCAAGGATCAAATTTGGTTGGATGTCTGCCTGTCTGTAGTCAAATAGATGTAACGGTCATGTCACCTACTACCGTTTATCCAATTTCCATGAAATTTTTAGGGATTGGGCGGGTTGGTGTTTAGATGGTCCCATGTCTATTTTATTTAATTCTAACCAGCACTTCAGCTTACGCATTTTTGTAGATATGCCAAACTTTCAGAAAAAGCTCGTTCGATTTGGCTCACGTAATAACTTGTAAAGTTCCCCATAACTTCGATATTTAAGAAGGAAATCGAGACCAAGACGAACTGGTTGAACTTAAATGGAAATAAACACAATAACAAATAAAACGATGTTTTTTTTATAACCTCGGAGCATAAATTACTTTCAATCTATATTGAAAATTACTGGAAAACTAAGTAACGGCATTTCTTGTCGTTCTGCATTTCATGTCTTTCTGGTCATGTTGGGCTGTTATAAAATTTTTAAATTGCATTTTGAACTGAGCTAAAGCTAAAAAATGACAGCTAACAAATCATAGATACCATTAAAATAACAAAAGTCCTATTTATTATATCACCGGGTGATTATGGATTGTACGATCCGTTGATTATGGATTACACGATCCTTTGGTTATGGATTGTACGACTATTAGTTATTAAACTGTTATATTTATATTTAAAGCCGATCTGAAGGGACTGGGTTTGGACGGCGAACGGTGGAGGGAGGTGTGTAACAAGCGATTGGTAGTGTCGGCATCGAACCTTCGGGTTCGCTAAGCCTTATTATTATTATTATATTTATATTTATATTTTCTAGCTTAGCGTTTTGTTCTGACCTTTTGAACTAACAGTAGTAAAATGCATGTTCAGAATGGATTTATTTTGTTTTTTTTAATTAAGGATAATCAAATATGGAATCTTCAAATACGGCACTCTTAAGCATTTTAATATTAGCTGATAAACGAAATTCGTGGATGTCAAACCCGCGAATTTTGAAGGGTAACTGTATTTCCGAATCGCCTTCTCCCAGAGATTTTATTCTCATTGGAAAAATTGTATACCTTTTAATATTTTAGCCAATGAAAACTGTGAGGAAGCTATACAGAGCTTACTTGGCAGACGTTTTTTCGTCACTCTCCGTTACCTTCTACAACATTTGACGCTTCTCAATGCCTGTGGTGCGGAGGTAAACATGATAATAACTATTCTGACTAGATTAACAATAAACGTTAATATAGTTCTGTGTCATGCGTTATATATTAATGAAGATAAGGGTGTGCAGTCAAAATTTTATCAATAATAAGAAGAAGAACAATGTGGAAAATGAAAAACAATTTATGGACGAGAATTAACTGGTATGTGTAAAAAAAAAGGGAGCAAATGCACAGAATTGACCTGGAACTTTCAAAATTACCTAAAATTTGAAATGGTTCTCGATGAACAAAATAGATGTTATTTTGCTCAATCGACGCGTATTTCTATCCTGTAAAAAATGAAAAAGCAGTTAAGTCGAAATAAAAAAAGATTTTATAATAATTCAGTGGAAACTGAAATTATTTGTTAGCCGAATCCAGGCCCTTTTGTGCACGTTTTTCATTACTTCAATTAGACTAACGAGCTTAAAATTTGTTTTACCGCTCTGAAAATTTGATTATGGATAACTTCGATGTGTAGGTTCGATATTGGTGGTTTTAGTGCAGAGAAGAACGAAATAATAGTATTACGTGCACTTTTTCACCATTTGGGACCACTGTGCAACGCACAGACAGAAAATACGCATCCTTTTTATTAGAAAAAGGATATTTAATTTCGGGAGTCTTTTTATATTCCATTAAAAGATAAATTTCAAAGATATTTTACATCGTAAACGAAAAAATCGTAAGTTAAAAATTTATATACATTTACTTTTTGTAACTTGATTTCTTAACTAAGTTAAGTGTATATATAATTTAAAAAAAAATATATATATTATTTTTAGTATTATTATTTTGTTGTTCTATTTGATTCCTTTTTATTTATTGTAAATATGGTGTGAATGAACATCTATATCAATATTATTGATGTCTTTAATTGTGATAAAATGTAATATTATTCAATAAAGAAATGTTTAAAGAAAAAAAAAATATTGACATATCACATAATATATCCAAATCCATTTCAATGTCCAATTTATAATTTGTAAACACAGACAAGTTAACTTCTGTATTACCTCTTAATTTGACCACAGAGGAATTAGGCCTTCTTTATTTATTTATTTTTTTTATTAAAAATAACCTTTACTTAGCTGGAATAAGTTATTTCAGATTTGTTGAGAATTTTCGAGATATCAATAGCTTTTAAAGGGAGAAGAAAGCTCTGTTTGCGCTTGTCTATTTTCGACCGTTGATTATTCATTGAGGTTATAAGAAGTGTGCAAAAAAAAAAAAAAACATGTATGAATTGTTACTGTTTGTTAATATTTAATTAGATAAAGTTAATTTTAAAAATTTAATAAATTAATCGGTTAATATTTGTTAAATTTTATTTCTGTATGTTTTTTTTTTCATCATACTTATTTATTTAACTGTCTTATTTTCATCTCTGATGATGACACACATGATTGGTTGCGAAAAAAACATCGGTCAACTTAATGAAAATGATTATTGCTTCCATATTCTGACTGTTTTTCATCCATTAAATTTAAAAGTGCGTTTAGACATTTCACAAACTATGGGAAACAAAATTATATAACTTAACTAACAACGACATTAGTGTTAAATCAAACTTTTTTTTTTTCTCTTGTTGCCAAGTATATGGAAAACATCAAAAACTAGGAACTAAAATATGATTATTAAAATAATAAAATAATGTGTCCACTATTTTAAGTCCTTTTATGACAGCTACCTCGTATCATCTCCTTCCTGAAGAAACAAAAACATTAGCATAACAACATTTATTGTGAAACAAGCATTTATGTTAGCGTTTATGTTTATAGTTTGTGAAATATCAAAACGTAAGGGTGCCCATCCTCCCCGAGGTCAATAGCGCATGAACTTCCCCTCCTCCCATTATTTTGTTTTGCTCCCCTCTTATAAAAACAGTACAAGCGAAAGTAGAATTAGAATCATACACAAATATATTTTTGGTGGTCTGGTCTATGTTTTCCCCCTTGTTTTCTGGATTGAAACTTTTTCAATCTAAAAAATCATAATCTTGGTGAAATGTGCCCCCTTAAAAATTCAAAATCCAGTTAAAATGTGACCTCACAAGTTGTGATGGTGCAACTTGCGCCATGAAACTCCTTTCGTGGCAGTTTCCAGTAATCAACTCTGTCTAAACGCACCTATTAAATTAATATTAATCCCAACCATTCTATGAATATACCAATTTTTTCAAAAATCAATACCGAGTGCATGAGTATAAAACTATTTGGGAAATTTTGACTTTTTTATTCAATAACTCTTTTTTTTCCAAATTTATTTATTGTGTATTACAACAATCTGTCATATGGACATTAGTTATAGTGAGGTAGGATAACATTCACACTATATATACAAAAAATATAAAATAAATAGAAGCAAAATAACAATAAATAATAATAATAACTCTAAATTGATAAAACGAATAGGTTAGCCGTTTTGACCAAATTTCAGAAAACTGTTAAATTACGATAGATATTTTTAATTAGCAACCTGTTAATTAATTACTCTCAATTATACCAACGGTTTTGTTTGGGTTTTAGTTCAAATAAGAAAATTAATTTTTCTTCCTTTTTTTTTTTTTTTATAAAATAAATTTCTATGGGAATATCCCATCCTCTAAAATAAATAATCTAGATTTTTAGTAAGCAATAGAGGTATGAACTTCTGATTGAAGAAAAAAACAATGTATTTATGTATTACAAAACAATGTATGTATTTATGTAAATAGATCAGAATAAATCATTAAAGTTTTGATAATCAATTAGCTACAGCAGAGATGGGCAAATGTATTTTACACAAATTGATTCAATATTGAGAATTCAATCACAGCTTCAGTTAATCGTTTGACAATCAACTGAAGTTGTAATTCAATTATTATTATTTTTTTTAATGCTTTATTGTATTTTGTTTTTATGTACATTGCATCATGTCATAATGATAAAAAATCTTTGGTACTCAAAGAATGTCAGTATTTGAGTAAAATACTTGGTACTCAGTACTCATTTGCCCATCTCTGCCGCACGGGCACACCGTAACTCAAATAAGATTAGTCTATTGTTGACAGTGAGAGAATGGAATAAATAAACAATAATGGAACTTTTCTATTATATGTATTTTTAATAATTTTTTTCTTTACATATTATGTGCTAACAAATGATCCAGTAACGAGTAGTAGAAATTAAGAGTTAATTGTACGTATAATTTAGACAATAATAACAATGATTTCAGTCTCAGACTGATAATAAAAACAATCGAAATTTAATTGTTTAAATAATTATTTCAAGCGGTTGAAGAAATATGCGAGTACATAAAAGAAGAGACAGGAGTTGCTATTATTACATTTGATGATATCGCCGGCCAAGATAATGTAGGTATATTATCGTTAAAATATTAATGTATATTTGACCTGTTGTTTAATTGAATAAACTCTTATATCCCATTACCCAGGAGATATCAAGCTCAGAATTAGCAACGAAATTGAGTAAGTACATAGAAAAATATGACATCGTTAAAAAAGGATGGATTATGTACGGTAAGTCAAGTTTACGATAGTTCAAAAAAAAAAAAAAATTCAGGTTAAAAACAACGTAGTTTTCAAACGAACGATTTCTTATTTCAGATATGCCTAGAAACTTTATAGAAACTAAAATATTCCAAAAGCATACTATATACCCAACACATGCTTTTGAGATTTGTTCTTCTCGAGATTCGTGTAAGATCTGGTTGAAATGATCTTTGCAAGCAGTGGATTTGCTTTCAATGTCATTCAGTTTAAAAATATTTTTTCAGATTCACAGAACGATGCTTGGTTTAGAAATATTAAGGACTGGCCGATAGAAAAGTTCAGGGAAGCGATGGTAGAATTTAAGAGAAAAGCATTCGGTTTGCACAGGGCTTTGCAAACATGTTACAAGGTTAATAACGTACAATGGCATATATTATGTTTGTTTATCGATTTTGTTTCAAAAATTGTTTTTTATACTCTTATTTTAGGATTATGTTATTTAGGAGAGCTCTATTAGAGAATTTAAAATCGTTAAAATTAGTGTTTTTTTTAGCATAAACTTAACCAATATCTCCTAGATTATATCCACGGTCAACTATTTTTGCATAATTATAAATAAACTAATAGGATGCACAGGCGGATTTACGGGAGGGGGAGATCTCGGGTTGATGGGTATCCTCTCTTTTCCCCAAAAATCGTAAAATATAAACATGTCTTATGAAAAAAAAATCTCGAAAGTATTATTGCTCGGATAATCACATTTAACAGGACTTCAAGAAACATTTAAACACCATTTCATACAGGTAGTTAGTTTATTTATTTTTATTCCAAATTAATAATCATTGTATATTAAAATAAAATAAGCTTTCTGACTAAATTTCTCCAAAATTAAATCCTGAATATAAAGGAGTATCAAGTGAGACCACTCTGTGGTGTAGAAATATGTATTTACAAAAGTTAAAATGACAGCCATATCTTCAATCTGACCTCAAGACTACTAGACCGTACACAAGATGTAAGGTTTTAAAAGGAATAGAATCGCAGAATTTCAGAAACTGTTTAAGAGTAATTAAAGTTTTTCTGATAATTTGGGAAACATGGTTATGCCAAGAAAGGTGGATCATTCTTATATTACTTGACCATTTAACATTTCTGAATCTAGCAATTTGGGTTTAAAAAAAAAATCAACTTTTTAAAGAAAAAAATATCTCAAATATCAGTATAGCTATCTTAGATAACAAACTTAAGCTTTGATTGTCAGTTTTCTTCATATGAGTTTTCTTTTTTTTAAATCATAACTTAATTAATAAGGACTTATTAAACAAGGTTGTTTTTTTTTTTTGTTTTTTTTTTCCAAACAGTTTAAATAAACAAACTTTATGAGTATATTGGAAAGGTATGATGACTAAGAATATATTGAAGGTATAAACAAACCATAAATATTTCAAGTCAACAAGAGAAAAAAAAAAACACTTTCCTATTTTTATTCATACTTATTTCCTATTTTTGTTTTGTATATTCTATATATGTAATACTTGATATTTTAACTACATTTTCATCTGATGTCATCTTATCATTTCTTTATCAGACAACTGTTTCTTTTTTAATATCTACTTATAATTAATTTATTTTATTTTCACCATACACCTTTTATATTTTGTATCTTTTGTAGCCCTGATGAAGACCTGCAAAGTGGGTCGAAACGTCGGCGTATTAATTAAAAATACTTTTTTAAAATTTAGTATGTATTTGACCGCACCCCACAACCAACTCCTTCTCATAAAAAAGAAGAAACGATGATTTTCGTTTCTTTCATTCATGCCTATAAGAAAAATTAATAAAATCCTCCTCCTTTTCTCTGAATGTTTATATTAAAAATACTAATATGATCAATTGATAGTATGAAAAATTAACATAAATGATATTAATACTACTAATAAATGTTGGATATGTATGAAACTTTAATCCTAAATAAATGCCTCGAAACTACTTACTTTTATCACTAACCACCTACAATGATCACTGATTATGTTAATTGAACACTGTTAAGTAAAATAATGGTAACATTCGTTACGCATAATTTTTGTGATATAGCATGTTTTAGAGGAAAAAATGTATAGTCTCCAGCCAGCTCTTTTATGCCTCTAGATTACAGATGGTCTGATAGCTGGTACCACAAACAGATTTTTTCCAACCATCTTCCGTCATATTAAATGACAATATAGTAAGAAGAACTGGTAACATTCGTTGCGATGTTTTCTCCAAATTATGAGGACAAACCAAATCTTCTTACTTTACAAAAAAAGTATTAGATACAGCTACAAGATGTATCTATAATTCGAAATACCATCATATACCAGTAAAATTCTCTTCTCATTTTTCTTGTTTTAGGAAGCCTACGATAATTTATTTTTTCATAGTTAAGGCAAAAATACTTCCAATTTTCTTTAAATCCTTTTAATCACATTTACTATCTCCATTGTTTTTCTTCCAAAGTAATAATCGTCATACACTGACAGGCTAAAAATTCACCCACTTGTCCACACCATTAAGGAACCACGTTGGAAACGTTGGCTCTGGGAAAAATTACAGGCTGCATATCTTTCGTTTCTTCTTTTCCAAACCCTTTCACCCCCGTCTGGAGATCGAAGAGCGAATCTTGACTCATTTGTAAAAAGTATAGCACTCCATTTGTCCATAGTCCAATGGCTGTGTTCTCGAGCAAAAGCCAGCCGTGTAACTCTGTGAGTTCTGGTCAACTCTGGTCCTCTTACTAGACGAAAAGCCATTAATCCATTCTCATTTAATCTTCTCCGAGCGGTACGTTCAGAAATTTGCACACCTTGAACTTCTTCGAGCTGATGAATCGCTTGAACAACGGTACGGTGCCGGTTTCGTAAAATTCAAGTCAAAAACCGGTCATCTAGTGGTTCTGTTATCCTAGGCCGTCCAGAACCGGACCTTGACATTGTAAGAACCAGTTTCCCGAAAACGCCTGACGGCGTCTCGTAAAGTTTCATATGGAACTATGATGGCATTAGCTGCACATCTAATGGGACGTCCATCATCAATAAGTGCCACACCACGCGTAACATCCTCAGCACTAAGAGGCATTTTTAAACTTAATATTGAAAAAATTAAAAGCCGGAGACTAAGAAATGTGCTGCAAGAAACGGCACTGAACTATTGACACTGAATAAACATTTTGATTCCATAGAAAGTAAACATTGCAATCTAGAATCATTTCATTGAATTAAGGATTAAGGGATATTGTCCTCTATATTAACATTCCTAATTGTAAATAAACAAAAAGATTTCCTATTTATTCATTAAAAACAATAGACCAATCCAAAGCAGAAATATTTTTAGATGAAAACATGAAAAAATCAAGTGGGTGGAATTATTTGCCTGTCAGTGTATTATAATACACAACCGTTAGGGTAGGCAAAGCAAATCTAAAACATAACAGTTGCTACGATTTTTGTTTTTCCTGTAGAAAGTTCTGGTCAACTCAAGAACGGAAAAGCAACTGGCCAGGGCTTGCGTCGACTACAGCAGAATACCCGTGTTCAAAGGCGCTCCGATGTTGCCAAGGATAGTCCTCATCGGGACCAGGGGCTCTAGGAGGAGGACCACTGCTAAGCGCCTCAGTGAAAAGTACCATATGGTTCATGGTAATTTCAATTATTATGTAACCGTTAAGATAGCAATGGATCACTTTCGTGTAGACTGTATCTAAGATAAATTTGAGTGGGGTAGAGGGAGGAGTAGGGGTGAGGAGAGGGGGAGATGCGTATTAGCAAAGCATTTTGCCGTCTATCCGCATTCTTACGTCTTCCCTACTCATTCATACGAACTTCTAAATTTTTATTTACTAGTCACAATTTTTTAAATATATTTTTTTCTCCATTTCCTACATTGATTATCAAAAGATTGGCTGTTTAGATACTGCGATTTACTTGATTCGAGCTAATACAGTCGTACAATATTGAGGTGCCCGATGCATTTTATATGGCCAGGAGCTCTTTTCTTGTATGAAAAAAAATATGAAAATTTGATAGAGGAATATCTGTGAATGACGCTACTTGTTATTTTGTTAATTTCTTTTAATGTTATTTCAAATTAATCTCCCTGAAGGAGCAATTAATTTTAGTTGGTTAGTTTAATACATGGAGCATTACTGTGACATAGAATTGTTTGCGGAGAGCCGGTCTCAGATCCATAGATTTGTTGCCTCTCTCCTATGCCGACAATGGCCGCTGGCGTGCCGTCCTCGCCGCCTTCATTGTGTAGCCGAAAGGGCTGTTTCTTCTGCTGGTGTTAGCTGCAAGCTGTTGCTCGGTAAGGTCGGCAGAGCGAGTGAACGTTCAAGCTAGCCGCTGGCTCTCTCTGCTGAAGTCGGCTAAGTGAGTGCGAAGCTGTGTGCTTAATCAAGCACCTGGACTTCGCTCGTAGATAAGGTACCCCGTACTCGAGAGGGAGTAGGAGAGGATGAGACTGGGAGGCCCCCGTGTTATTTATACAAGCCAATTACAAATATCTGGTATATAATACCAAATAATATATATACAAAAATTTATGGATGTAAGTCCAACAACAGTACAGTCTAAAATAATACATAATGTGAACAATTCTCTTTACATTCAGAACAAGGCCTTCACGCTCTCAGATAGCAGTGACTAACCAAGTAGTCAAGATTTCAAGTTAGTCACCATCAGAATTGATAAAAATAAGACCACATAAAATCTGATTAGAAAGAACACATCTCACTTTAAAATCCAATAAAATAAAAAAAACAAACAAAGGTAGTTTTACTTCACTCCAAAATAGTCCAATACATACTTCGTAAATATATCAAGTCAACAGCACTTTCCAAATTAGAAAACTATATATATATATATATATATATATATTTTTTTTTTTTTGTCCATGTTTGTCTCTGTAAATGAGATCTGAGACAAGTACTTAAAAAATCACAATATGTTCAGTTTTATATAACGCATATACAGCTACCAAAGATAAGCATCTGTCACAAAATATATTTTAAAAAATATCCCTAAAAGCGTTATTGTTCCTATTTTATATAGTTTCTTTTTTTTTTCTTCCAGCGTAATCACCGTTATAAAAAAAATGCTATAGATCAATAGTTGGCGGCGTTGTATGTAAATTGGAGGCCGGAAGCAACTGTCCTGTTTCCAAAACATTTTTATCTTCATGGTTACGATTGTTCAAAACATCAGAATGAATATACCAGAAAGATATTATATCTTAGAAGTGTGCCTATTTTAGCCAACTTGATTCAAAATTTGAATTAAAAATTAATTTTTTTTAATTGATATTTATATACCCTCACAAAAATCAATCATCACTAAAAAATTCAAAATTTACGTACTACGTTAGTTATAATTAAACCAGTCAGTACGTAATGCAGGCATTGTATGGACGATATTTTTTTTAGTATTCCATCGCTATTCCATTCATAATATTTCAAATAATGTTTATTCAGCATTTCATATTTTGAAATATTCCTCCAAATGTCACTCAACACCTACCCAATATGATTCAAATTAAGTGATTTGCATGACGTAAGGTATGTGCAACTGTCGGAGTGCACAATATGGCAACCATTGTTTTAGAACTTCATTAATAAAACAAGAATTTTAATGTAGCTATTATCTATAGCTCTTTATGCAGTAATTAATTTATTTTATTCAAAATTTTTAAATTAATATTTTGAATGCAGTCCTTTGGTTTTGAGTGTCATTTAGGCATTGATTGGATCAAATTTGAACTCAATGGCGAGAGTATTTTCTCTCATTCTCCAAACAATTTACTTTTAATTTATTTTACTGACGTTATATTTTGATTTTCAAACTTTGAATCGACATACAACCCCATAAATGTTCGTTGTTCAAAACTTGACTCTGGAGAGAAGCACAGGCGGATCTACGGGAGAGGGGAGCTTTTGAGCTGAAGTCCCCTTCCCCAAAATGGTAAACTATAACCATATTTTACAGATAAAAATATTAAAAACTATCTCTTAAAGTATTCTTGTCAGTGTAATTACATTTAATAAGATTTCAAGAACCACTTAAATACCATTTCATATGGGTAATCAATTTCTTTATTTTATTATTCAAATTAATTATCGTTATATATGTGAAAAAAAAGCTTTGGGGCTGAGCCCTCCCTCCAAAATTAAATCCTTGATCCGCTGTTGGAGAGAAGTTTCGTCTTCATTTGTATAATTATAACAACGGTCGTTCCCGTGTGAAAAGGGCCCAACCTAAGAGTTACTATCCTGATAAAATTTAAGGACAGTATCCTTGGCAATATTTAAGTTGTCCCTTTTTACTCATTTTTGCCATTACCAGCCCTTAATTCCTTACTTTTTATTGCCAAGATTGATTATTTTTTAATCTTTTTTTTTATGTTTTATTATTCTCTGACCATCTAGCTTTAGTAAAAGGCCAATAATGACGAAATTAAGCCAACTGCTGAATCCGAGTGACCGAACAACTAACTAAAGTCGAAGCCGCCAATCCGCCATGTTTGGACGCCATTTTGGAACAATGCGTTCACTTTTTTTTATGGGAACATTGGCTTTTTTTTTTAAATATATAAAATATTATAATATAGTAAATTTTAAAATTACTAGGAACACAATGATATGCAATCTATAGGAAAGTGAGAGAGCGATGGGTGCACGGGGTGGAGTCGGGACCACCGTCTATTACGGGTATAGGTCGACTTACAGCTCGGAAAATAAAATATATCGTCAGTAAAATATCTTAAACTGAATCGTTTGAAAAGTGGAGGAAAATACCCAGCCAATTGATTCTAAAGTTGATCCAATCAATGCCTAAATGATACTCAAGAACAAAGGACTGTATTCAAAATTTTAATTTAAAAATGTTGACTAAAATAATTAAATGAATTATTGAAGAGAAGAATAGTTGGGGTGCTCAGTTAAAGGAAGGCAAAAAAATAAATTATAATATTTATTTTTTACATATGCCGACGTTTCGACCTGAAGTTCAGGCCTTCATCAGGGCTAAGAAAATAACCAGATAACAAGGTATGAGAAACATAAGTAATGATGGTAAAAAAGATAATAAAAAATGAAAAAATAAAATAAAAAAAAATTATTAGAAAAATAAAATAGATAGATATAAAGTAAAATGAAATTGTTAGAATAATGACTAAGAACTGAGAGATAAATAATAAAAACTGTTACATAGTGTGGAATGATGAAGTAGGCATAATCAAAAAGAGGTGACAAAAGTGTTACATTGGGAATCTTAGAATAAGATGTAAAAACATAAAAAAGAAATATAAAGTTATATAAGAAATGAAAATAAAATAAATAGTAAAATTAAAACATTGAGAATGGAGTAGTTAGATAGATTCTAGTTAATATGGAGTAGTTAGATAGATTCTATCTAACTACTCCATTCTCAATGTTTTAATTTTACTATTTATTTTATTTTCATTTCTTATATAACTTTATATTTCTTTTTTATGTTTTTACATTTTATTCTAAGATTCCCAATGTAACACTTTTGTCACCCCTTTTTGATTATGCCTACTTCATCATTCCACACTATGTAACAGTTTTTATTATTTATCTCTCAGTTCTTAGTCATTATTCTAACAATTTCATTTTACTTTATATCTATCTATTTTATTTTTCTAATAATTTTTTATTTATTTTTTTTTTCATTTTTTATTATCTTTTTTACCATCATTACTTATTTTTCTCATACCTTGTTATCTGGTTATTTTCTTAGCCCTGATGAAGGCCTGAACTTCAGGTCGAAACGTCGGCATATGTAAAAAATAAATATTATAATTTATTTTTTGCCTTCCTTTTTGACTGAGCACCCCAACTATTCTTCTCTTCATTATCCACGACAGTCAACCAATTACCAATTATAAATTAATTATTGTATGATACAGCTGTATACGAAAACTTTTGCTCCATTAAAATTCTTGTTTTATACTTCTATAAAATGTATACCTATGTATTTATTGGTAGGTAAACATCCTTGATAAAAATGATAAGTATGACTTTGAATTTATAATTAGGCGTTTAAATAAAAAAAAAAAATATATAGGAAAGAATTGTTTTTATTGATTTTTTTTTTATTTCCTATCAGTCGAAGTATGAGAACACTTTTACTGGCCAATGTGCGTACCCAAAACATTGCTCCTGTGCTTCCCGAATTCATAGGAAATTTTTTAACTTTCATTATTTTTTTCCATCGATTTACGAATATTTTCTCCTCACATTCTAGCGCAATAATTTAAATTTTACTTTTCTACTTCTTCAATCTTTCTTTCTTTGGTATTTCCGTAGATACTTCTGTTTCTTCCTTCTTCCCCCAACACATTGGCGTACCAAAAGTTAGCGTCTTAAGCCCAATACTCTATTTTCTGTATACCTCTGATATTCCTGAGCACCCTAATACCACCATTTATTGCTTCACTGACGACAATTCTTTCTCAAACAAAAATCCTACTATCGCACCAATTACCCTTCAAAACTACCTCAATGTTCTTGAAAAGTGTTTCGAAAAATGGAAAATTAAAGTAAATAGTAACAAATCCACCCACGTTAGTTTCCCTCTTAGGAAAGTCTCATGACCACCCATTATGATTGACAATAACCCAG